AGCCCCGCCCCCACTATTTCCACGCGGCGGCGATTTTGGGGGGAATAAATGGGATTTTGGGGGAATAAATGGGATTTTGGGGTCAATGGGATTTTGTTCCTTTTTTGGTTATTTTTGGGGTTTTTTTTGTTTTTTTGAGTCTGGGGTCTCGGGATTTTTTGGGGGAGTCTCTGGTGGGTCCCCCTAAATCTTGGGGGGTCTCTGGGTCCCTTTTTGGGGTCGTTTTGGGGTCATTTAATGAGATTTTATTCCAATTTTTGGGGTTTTTTTTGGGGTTTTTTTTGGGTTGTTTTGAGTCTGGGGTCTCGGGTTTTTTTTGGGGGGGGTCCCTAACATTTTGGGGGTCCCCCCCGCAGCCCCGCCCCCACTATTTCCACGCGGCGGCGATTTTGGGGGACACTCTGGTGGTGGTGGGGGGTCGCAGCGACCGCCGGGATTTCGGCAACGACGTGCTGCTCTACCAAATCCGCTGCAACGCCTGGATCCTGCCCCCCCACACCGGTGAGGGGGGTCCCCCCGATTTGGGGAGGGGTCTGCTGGATTGGGGGGGTCCCAAAATGGGGGGTACCCCGAAAATTGGGTGGAAATCGGGTGAAATTTGGGCAAAAAATGACAAAAATAGGGTAAAAATATGGAAAAATGTGGGGGGAAATGGGTCTGGGGGCTTCAGGGAGGGGATTTTTGTGGGAATTTTGGGGTCCCCCCAAATTGGGGAGGGGTCCCCCGGATTGGGGGGGGGGCAAATGGGGGGCACCCTGAAAATTGGGTGGAAATCAGGCGAAAAATGGCAAAAATAGGGCAAAAAATGGGAGAAATACGGGGGAATTTGGGGGGAAATGGGTCTGGGGGCTTCGGAGATGGGCGGGGTTTGGGGTGCCCAATTTGGGGAGGGGTCCCCCGGATTGGGGGGGTCCCAAATGGGGGGCACCCCGAAAATTTGGTGAAATTTGGGCAAAAAATGGCAAAAATAGGGCAAAAAATGGGAGAAATATGGGGAAATTTGGGGTGAAATGGGTCTGGGGGCTTCCAGAGGGGCGGGGTTTGGGGGTGCCCAATTTGGGGAGGGGTCCCCCGGATTGGGGGGGGTCCCAAATGGGGGGCACCCCGAAAATTGGGTGGAAATCGGGTGAAATTTGGGCAAAAAATGGCAAAAATAGGGCAAAAAATGGGAAAATATGGGGGGAAATGGGTCTGGGGGCTTCCAGAGGGGCGGGGTTTGGGGGTGCCCAATTTGGGGAGGGGTCCCCCGGATTGGGGGGGGTCCCAAATGGGGGGCACCCCGAAAATTGGGTGGAAATCGGGTGAAATTTGGGCAAAAAATGACAAAAAGAGGGCAAAAATTGGGAAAAATACGGGGGGAAATGGGTCTGGGGGCTTCAGGGAGGGGATTTTTGTGGGAATTTTGGGGTCCCCCCAATTTGGGGAGGGGTCCCCCGGATTGGGGGGGGTCCCAAATGGGGGGCACCCCGAAAATTGGGTGGAAATCGGGTGAAAAATGGCAAAAATAGGGCAAAAAATGGGAAAAATACGGGGGGAAATGGGTCTGGGGGCTTCGGCGAGGGGATTTTGGGGTCCCCCCGATTTGGGGAGGGGTCCCCCGGATTGGAGGGGGTCCAAAATGGGGGGCACCCCGAAAATTGGGTGGAAATTGGGCAAAAAATGGCAAAAATAGGGCAAAAATTGGGAAAATTACGGGGAAATTTGGGGGGAAATGGGTCTGGGGGCTTCCAGAGGGGCGGGGTTTGGGGTGCCCAATTTGGGGAGGGGTCCCCCGGATTGGGGGGAGTCCCAAATGGGGGGCACCCCGAAAATTGGGTGGAAATCGGGTGAAAAATGGCAAAAATAGGGCAAAAAATGGAAAAAATACGGGGAAAGTTGGGGGGAAATGGGTCTGGGGGCTTCCAGAGGGGCGGAGTTTGGGGTGCCCAATTTGGGGAGGGGTCTGCAGGATTTGGGGGGTCCCAAATGGGGGGCACCCCGAAAATTGGGTGGAAATCGGGTGAAATTTGGGCAAAAAATGACAAAAATAGGGCAAAAAATGGGAGAAATATGGGGGGAAATGGGTCTGGGGGCTTCCAGAGGGGCGGAGTTTGGGGGTCCCCCCGATTTGGGGAGGGGTCTGCTGGATTTGGGGGGTCCAAAATGGGGGGCACCCCGAAAATTGGGTGGAAATCGGGTGAAATTTGGGCAAAAAATGACAAAAATAGGGCAAAAATTGGGAGAAATACGGAGGGGAAATGGGTCTGGGGGCTTCAGGGAGGGGATTTTTGTGGGAATTTTGGGGTTTTCCCGATTTGGGGAGGAGTCTGCTGGATTGGGGGGGGGCAAAATGGGGGGTACCCCGAAAATTGGGTGGAAATCGGGCGAAAAATGACAAAAATAGGGCAAAAATAGGGAAAAATACGGGGAAATTTGGGGGGAAATGGGTCTGGGGGCTTCCAGAGGGGCGGAGTTTGGGGGTGCCCAATTTGGGGAGGGGTCCCCCGGATTGGGGGGGGTCCCAAATGGGGGGCACCCCGAAAATTGGGTGGAAATCGGGTGAAATTTGGGCAAAAAATGGCGAAAATTGGGAAAAATACAGGGAGAAATGGGTCTGGGGGCTTCAGGGAGGGGCGGGGTTTGGGGGTGCCCAATTTGGGGAGGGGTCCCCCGGATTGGGGGGGGTCCCACATGGGGGGCACCCCGAAAATTTGGTGAAATTTGGGCAAAAAATGGCAAAAATAGGGCAAAAAATGGGAGAAATATGGGGAAATTTGGGGTGAAATGGGTCTGGGGGCTTCAGGTGGGGGCGGGGTTTGGGGTCCTCCCAATTTGGGGAGGGGTCCCCCGGATTGGGGGGGTCCCAAATGGGGGGGCACCCCGAAAATTGGGTGGAAATCGGGTGAAATTTGGGCAAAAAATGACAAAAAGAGGGCAAAAATTGGGAAAAATACGGGGGGAAATGGGTCTGGGGGCTTCAGGGAGGGGATTTTTGTGGGAATTTTGGGGTCCCCCCAATTTGGGGAGGGGTCCCCCGGATTGGGGGGGGTCCCAAATGGGGGGGCACCCCGAAAATTGGGTGGAAATCGGGTGAAAAATGGCAAAAATAGGGCAAAAAATGGGAAAAATACGGGGGGAAATGGGTCTGGGGGCTTCGGCGAGGGGATTTTGGGGTCCCCCCGATTTGGGGAGGGGTCCCCCGGATTGGAGGGGGTCCAAAATGGGGGGCACCCCGAAAATTGGGTGGAAATTGGGCAAAAAATGGCAAAAATAGGGCAAAAATTGGGAAAATTACGGGGAAATTTGGGGGGAAATGGGTCTGGGGGCTTCCAGAGGGGCGGGGTTTGGGGGTGCCCAATTTGGGGAGGGGTCCCCCGGATTGGGGGGAGTCCCAAATGGGGGGCACCCCGAAAATTGGGTGGAAATCGGGTGAAAAATGGCAAAAATAGGGCAAAAAATGGAAAAAATACGGGGAAAGTTGGGGGGAAATGGGTCTGGGGGCTTCCAGAGGGGCGGAGTTTGGGGTGCCCAATTTGGGGAGGGGTCTGCAGGATTTGGGGGGTCCCAAATGGGGGGCACCCCGAAAATTGGGTGGAAATCGGGTGAAATTTGGGCAAAAAATGACAAAAATAGGGCAAAAAATGGGAGAAATATGGGGGGAAATGGGTCTGGGGGCTTCCAGAGGGGCGGAGTTTGGGGGTCCCCCCGATTTGGGGAGGGGTCTGCTGGATTTGGGGGGTCCAAAATGGGGGGCACCCCGAAAATTGGGTGGAAATCGGGTGAAATTTGGGCAAAAAATGACAAAAATAGGGCAAAAATTGGGAGAAATACGGAGGGGAAATGGGTCTGGGGGCTTCAGGGAGGGGATTTTTGTGGGAATTTTGGGGTTTTCCCGATTTGGGGAGGAGTCTGCTGGATTGGGGGGGGGCAAAATGGGGGGTACCCCGAAAATTGGGTGGAAATCGGGCGAAAAATGACAAAAATAGGGCAAAAATAGGGAAAAATACGGGGAAATTTGGGGGGAAATGGGTCTGGGGGCTTCCAGAGGGGCGGAGTTTGGGGGTGCCCAATTTGGGGAGGGGTCCCCCGGATTGGGGGGGGTCCAAATGGGGGGCACCCCGAAAATTGGGTGGAAATCGGGTGAAATTTGGGCAAAAAATGACAAAAATAGGGCAAAAAATGGGAGAAATATGGGGGGAAATGGGTCTGGGGGCTTCAGGGAGGGGATTTTTGGGGTCCCCCCAAATTGGGGAGGGGTCTGCCGGATTGGGGGGGGTCCCAAATGGGGGGCACCCCGAAAATTGGGTGGAAATCGGGCGGAAAATGGCAAAAATAGGGCAAAAATTGGGAAAAATATGTGGGGAAATGGGTCTGGGGGCTTCGGGGAGGGGATTTTTGGGGCAGTTTTGGGGTCCTCCCAATTTGGGGAGGGGTCCCCCGGATTGGGGGGGGGGCAAAATGGGGGCACCCCGAAAATTGGGTGGAAATCGGGTGAAATTTGAGCAAAAAATGACAAAAAAAGGGCAAAAAATGGGAAAAATATGGGAAAAATACGGAGGGAAATGGGTCTGGGGGCTTCAGGGTGGGGCGGGGTTTGGGGTGCCCAATTTGGGGAGGGGTCTGCTGGATTGGGGGGGGTCCCAAATGGGGGGCACCCCGAAAATTGGGTGGAAATTGGGCGGAAAATGGCAAAAATATGGCAAAAAATGGGAAAATTACGGGGAAATTTGGGGGGAAATGGGTCTGGGGGCTTCCAGAGGGGCGGGGTTTGGGGATGCCCAATTTGGGGAGGGGTCCCCTGGATTGGGGGGGTCCCAAATGGGGGGCACCCCGAAAATTGGGTGGAAATCGGGTGAAATTTGGGCAAAAAATGGCAAAAATAGGGCAAAAAATGGGAAAAATGCGGGGAAAGTTGGGGGGAAATGGGTCTGGGGGCTTCCAGAGGGGCGGGGTTTGGGGGTGACCAATTTGGGGAGGGGTCCCCCGGATTGGGGGGGGGTCCCAAATGGGGGGCACCCCGAAAATTGGGTGGAAATCGGGCGGAAAATGGCAAAAATAGGACAAAAAAATGGGAAAAATACGGGGAAAGTTGGGGGGAAATGGGTCTGGGGGCTTCCAGAGGGGCGGAATTTGGGGTGCCCAATTTGGGGAGGGGTCCCCCGGATTGGGGAGGGTCCCAAGTGGGGGGCACCCCGAAAATTGGGTGGAAATCGGGTGAAAAATGGCAAAAATAGGGCAAAAAATGGAAAAAATACGGGGAAAGTTGGGGGGAAATGGGTCTGGGGGCTTCCAGAGGGGCGGGGTTTGGGGGTGCCCAATTTGGGGAGGGGTCCCCCGGATTGGGGGGGGTCCCAAATGGGGGGCACCCCGAAAATTGGGTGGAAATTGGGCGAAAAATGGCAAAAATAGGGCAAAAAATGGGAAAAATACAGGGAGAAATGGGTCTGGGGGCTTCGGGGAGGGGATTTTTGTGGGATTTTTGGGGTCGTCCCAATTTGGGGAGGGGTCTGCGGAATTGGGGGGGGTCCCAAATGGGGGGCACCCCGAAAATTGGGTGGAAATCGGGTGAAATTTGGGCAAAAAATGACAAAAATAGGGGAAAATGAGGAAAATTTTGGGGGGAATTTTGGGTGACTTTAGGAGGAATTTTGGGGGAATTTTGGGGAAATTTTGGAGGAATGTAGGTTAAATTTTGGGGGAATTTTGGGGACTTTTGGAGAATTTGGGGGGAACTTTGGGGGCTTTTGGAGGAATTTGGGGGGAATTTTTGTAGAATTTTGGGGGAATTTTGGAGAATTTGGGGGGAACTTTTGGAGGATTTTGCTGGGAATTTTGGGGAAATTTCGAAGGTATTCAAGTTAAATTTTGGGGGGATTTTGGGGGAATTTTTGGGGACTTTTGGGGGATTTTTATAGAATTTTGTGGGAAAATTTTTGGGACTTTTGAAGAATTTTGGGGGAAACTTTGGGGACTTTTGGAGGATTTTGGTGGGAACTTTAGGGGAAATTTCAGAGGAATTCAGGTTAAATTTTGGGGGATTTTTGGGGGATTTTTATAGAATTTTGTGGGAATTTTGGGGACTTTTGGAGAATTCTGGTGGGAATTTTGGGGAAATTTCGGAGCATTGTAGATTAAATTTTGGGGGGATTTTTGGGGGATTTTGGGGGGGATTTTTGAGGGATTTTGGGGGGATTTTTGGGGAAATTTCAAAGCAATGTAGATTAAATTTTGAGGGATTTTGGGGGGATTTTGGGGAAATTTTTGGGGGATTTTTGGGGTATTTTTGGGGTATTTTTGGGGGTATTTTTGGGCTATTTTCGGTATTTTTTTGTGATAAATTTTGACCTTTTCCCCCCAAACCCCCAGAGCCGTCGGTGGTGGGCCCCCCCATGCCGGGGGCGGTGGGCCACGCCCTGGCCCAGCTCGGGGGGCTCCTCTTCCTCTCGGGGGGCTTCAACGGGGGGGTCCTGGGGGGGCTCTGGGGGCTGCGGGTGCCCCCCGAGCCCTGCGGGGCCCTCCCGGACCCCCAACGCTGCAACGGCTCGGGGGGCGCCTGCGCCTGGTGCGGGGGGCGCTGCCGGGGGGCTCTGGAGGCTGAGAGGTGAGATTTGGGGGGATTTGGGGATTTTGGGGGGTCAAAATGGGATTTGGGGGGGATTTCGGGAGGTTTGGGGGGGTTTAAAGGGGATTTGGGGGGGATTTGGGGGCTCGGGGGGCACCTGCGCCTGGTGCGGGGGGCGCTGCCGGGGGACCCCCGAGGCTCTGAGGTGAGATTTGGGGGGAAATCGGGGATTTTGGGGGGTCTGGGGGGGTTTGGGGGGATTTGGGGGGGATTTGGGGGGATTTGGGGGGCTTTGGGGAGGATTTGGGAGGGTCTAGGGGAGATTTGGGGGGGTTTAAAGAAGATTTTGGGGAGGATTTGGGGGGTTTGGGGAGATTTTGGGGGTCTAAATGGGATTTGGGGGGGTTTAGAGGAGATTTTGGGGAGTTTAAAGGGGGGAATAGGGAGATTTTGGGGGGAATTGGGAGATTTTGGGGGATTTGGGGGGGATTTTGGGGGGTTTAGTGGGCATTTGGGGGGGATTTGGGGGGGATTTGAGGGGGTTTAGGGGGGATTTCAGGGGGTTTAAAGGGTGGAATTGGGAGATTTTGGGGGGAATTGGGAGATTTTGGGGGGTCTGAGGGGGTTTGGGGGGGTCTGGAAGGGATTTGGGGGGTTTAAAGTGGATTTGGGGAGGATTTGGGGGGATTTAGGGGGGATTTGGGGGGGTTTAAAGGGGATTTGGGGGCTCCGGGGGCGCCTGCGCCTGGTGCGGGGGGCGCTGCCGGGGGGCCCCCGAGGCTGAGAGGTGAAATTTGGGGGGATTTGGGGGGTCTGGGGGGATTTGGGGGGATTTGGGGGGATTTGGAGGGGATTTGGGGGGGTTTGGGGAAAAAATCAGGGGGGTTGGGGGAGATTTGGGGGGGACTTGGGCAGATTTTGGGGAACTGGGGGGGTTCAAAAGGGATTTTTGGGAGGGTTTGGACGGGATTTGGGGGATCTGCAGGGGATTTGAGGGGGTTTAGGGGAGATTTGGGGGGGTTTAAAGAAGATTTTGGGGAGGATTTGGGGGGTTGGGGGGATTTAGTGGGGATTTGGGGGGTCTGGAGGGGATTTGGGGGGTTTGGAGGGATTTGAGGGGGATTTGGGGGGGTTTAAAGGGGATTTGGGGGGGTTTAAAGGGGATTTGGGGGCTCGGGGGGCGCCTGCGCCTGGTGCGGGGGGCGCTGCCGGGGGGCCCCCGAGGCCCAGAGGTCAGATTTCGGGGGATTTGGGGGGATTTGGGGGGTTTGGGGGGGATTTTGGGAAATTTAGGGGGGATTTGGGGGGCTTTGGGGAGGATTTGGGAGGGTCTAGGGGAGATTTGGGGGGGTTTAAAGAAGATTTTGGGGAGGATTTGGGGGGTTTGGGGGGTCTAGGGGGGATTTGGGGGAGTTTAAAGGGGGGAATTGGGAGATTTGGGGGGTTTGGGGAGATTTTGGGGGCTCGGGGGGGATTTGGGGGGGTTTAGGGGGGATTTGTGGGAGTTTAAAGGGGGGAATTTGGAGATTTTGGGGGGAATTCGGAGATTTGGGGGGTTTGGGGAGGATTTGGGGGGTCTGTAGGGGTTTAGAGGGGATTTGGGGGGTTTAGGGGGGATTTGGGGGAGTTTAAAAGTGGTAATTGAGAGATTTTGGGGGGTTTAGGGGGGATTTGGGGGATTTTGGGGAAAATGGGGGATTTTAGGGGATGAAGAAAGGATTTGGGGGGAAAAATTGGGGATTTGGGGGGGTTTGAAGAGAATTTGGGGGACCTTAAAAAATATTAGTGGGGTTTGGGGGGGATTTGAGGAGGATTTGGGGGGTTTGGGGAGGATTTGGGGGGTTTAGAGGAGATTTTGGGGGATTTGGGGAGGATTTGGGGGTTTTAGAGGGAAATTGGGATTTTTGGGGGAAAAATCCAGAATTTCGGGGGTATTTGGGGAGAAACCCGAAGGTCCTGGGGGAGTTTAAAGAGAATTTTGGGGAGATTTCCGGGGGATTTGGGGCAGAGTTTGGGACGGTGGTTTTGGGGCGCTAAGGGGGATGTAAATGAGATGCAAATGAGATGCAAATGAGATGTAAATGACCCGGCAGGTTGGGGTGCTCCCCCATCCCCGCCCCCTGCGCCCCCTCCCCCCGGGACCCCCACGAGTGTCGGCGCCTCCGGAGCTGCAGCGAGTGCCTGGCCCAGCACCCCCTGGGGGGCGCGGTGAGACCCCAAAAACACCCCAAAACACCCCAAAAAGGTCTCCAAAATATCCAAAAAATATCCAAAAAATATCCCCAAAATATCCCCAAAAACAGCCCCAAAATATCCCAAAAATATCCCCAAAAACAGCCCAAAAATGTCCCCGAAACAGACCAAAAACAGACCAAAAATATCCCAAAAATATCCCCAAAAACAGCCCCAAAATGGTCCCCAAAATATCCAAAAAATATCCCCAAAAACAGCCCCAAAATATCCCAAAAACAGCCCAAAAATATCCCCAAAATATCCCAAAATTATCCCCAAAATATCAAAAAAATATCCCCAGAATATCCAAAATAATATTCCCAAAATATCCCAAAAACATCCCCAAAACACCCCAAAAAGGTCCCCAAAATATCCCAAAAACAGACCAAAAACATCCCCAAAACAGCCAAAAAACGTCCCCGAAACAGCCCAAAAACGTCCCCAAAATATCCCCAAAACAGCCCAAAAACGTCCCCAAAACAGACCAAAAATATCCCCAAAATATCCAAAAAATATCCCAAAAATATCCCCAAAAACAGCCCCAAAATATCCCAAAAACAGCCCCAAAACGTCCCCAAAACACCCCAAAAACCTGCCCGAAACAGACCAAAAACAGCCCAAAAACGTCCCCGAAACAGCCCAAAAATATCCCCAAAATATCCCAAAATTATCCCCAAAATATCAAAAAAATATCCCCAAAATATCCCAAAAAATATCCCCAAAATATCCCAAAAACATCCTGAAAATATCCCGAAAATATCCCTAAAACCCCATTTTTTCACCCAAAATCCCCATTTTTTTCCCAAATTCCTCATTTTTACCCCAAAATTCCCATTTTTACCCCAAAATCCCCATTTTTCCACCAAAAATCCCCATTTTCCACCGAAAATCCCCATTTTTTTTCCCAAAATCCCCGTTTTTTCACCATAAATCCCAAATTTTTCCAATTTTTTTACCCAAAATCCCCATTTTTTCACCCAAACCTCCCCATAACCCCAATTTTGAACATCCAAGACTCCTTGACACCCTCAAAAACCCCATTATTTTTTCCACAAAAACCCCCAGAAAATCCCCATTTTTCCACCGAAAATCCCCATTTTTTCACCTAAAATCTCCATTTTTTTCCCAAAATCCCCATTTTTTCACCCAAATCTCCCCAAAAACCCAATTTTGGACATCCAGGACTCCCTGAAGCCCCACAAACCTCCCGAAAATCCCATTTTTTTCACAAAAACCCCCATAAAATCCCCATTTTTTCCCCTTTTTTTCCCATTTTTCCACCTAAAATCCCCATTTTTTCACCGAAAACCCCCATTTTTTTTTTTGTTTTTTTCCCAAAATCCCCTTTTTTCTCCCCAAACAGGGTCCCCCTGCGTGCAAGTGGTGCACCAACTGCCCCGAGGGCGCGGCACCGAGCCCGGGACCCCCAAAACCTCCCCAGAGCCCCGAGACCCCCCAAAAACCCCCAAATCCCATTTTTTCCCCCAAATTCCTCATTTTTCCACCCAAAATCCCCATTTTTTTTCCCAAAATCCCCATTTTTTCACCCAAACCTCCCCATAATCCCAATTTTGGACACCCGGGACCCCCTGAGACCCCAAAACCTCCCCAGGACTGAGACCCCCCAAAACCACCCCAAAATCCCCATTTTTTCACCCAAAATCTCCATTTTTTCACCCAAAATCTCCATTTTTCCACCGAAAATCCCCATTTTTTTTCCCAAAACCCCCATTTTTTCACCCAAATCTTTCCATAACCCCAATTTTAGACACCCATGACCCCCTCAGACCCCTCTGAGCCTCCAAAAACCTCCCAAAAACCCCCATTTCTTTCACCAAAAAATCCCCCAAAAATCTCGATTTTTTCCCGTTTTTTTCCCAAAAATCTCAATTTTTTTTCCCAAAATCTCAATTTTTTCACCCAAATCTCCCCATAACCCCAATTTTGGACTTCCAAGACTCCTTGAGACCCCCCAAACCTCCCAAAAACCCCATTTTATTCGCCACAAACCCACAAAAATCTCGATTTTTTCCCCTTTTTTCTCCATTTTTTCACCGAAAACCCCCATTTTTTTTTTGTTTTTTTCCCAAAACCCCCTTTTTTCTCCCCAAACAGGGTCCCCCGGCGTGCAAGTGGTGCACCAACTGCCCCGAGGGCGCGGCACCGAGCCCGGGACCCCCAAAACCTCCCCAGAGCCCCGAGACCCCCCAAAAACCCCCAAATCCCCTTTTTTCCCCAAATTCCTCCTTTTTACCCCAAAAATCCCCATTTTTTCACCCAAAATCTCAATTTTTTTTCCCAAAATCTCCATTTTTTCACCCAAACCACTCCAAAACCCCAATTTTGGACACCCTGAGACCCCAAAACCTCCCCAGGACTCACCGAGACCCCCAAAACCACCCCAAAATCCCCATTTTTTCACCAAAAATCCCCATTTTTTCACCTAAAATCTTCATTTTTTTTCCCAAAATCCCCATTTTTTCACCCAAATCTCCTCATAACCCCAATTTTGGACATCCAGGACTCCCTGAAGCCCCACAAACCTCCCGAAAATCCCATTTTTTTCACAAAACCCCCAGAAAATCCCCATTTTTCCACATAAAATCCCCATTTTTTGACCTAAAATCCCCATTTTTTCACCGAAAACCCCCATTTTTTTTTTGTTTTTTTCCCAAAATCCCCTTTTTTCTCCCCAAATAGGGTCCCCCGGCGTGCAAGTGGTGCACCAACTGCCCCGAGGGCGCGGCACCGAGCCCGGGACCCCCAAAACCTCCCCAGAGCCCCGAGACCCCCCAAAAACCCCCAAATCCCCTTTTTTCCCCCCAAATTCCTCCTTTTTAACCCAAAATCCCCATTTTTTCACCCAAAATCCCCATTTTTTTCACAAAATCACCATTTTTTCACCCAAACCTCCCCAAAACCCCAATTTTGGACACCCGGGACCCCAAAACCTCCCCAGGACTGAGACCCCCCAAAATCCCCATTTTTCCGCCTAAAATCCCCATTTTTTCACCAAAAATCTCCATTTTTTTCCCAAAATCCCCATTTTTTCACCCAAATCTCCCCATAACCCCAATTTTGAACATCCAAGACTCCTTGACACCCTCAAAAACCCCATTTTTTTTTTCCCAAAAACCCCCATAAAATCCCCATTTTTCCACCTAAAATCCTCATTTTTTCACCCAAAATCTCCAATTTTTTTCCCAAAATCCCCATTTTTTCACCCAAACCTCCCCATAACCCCAATTTTGAACATCCAAAACTCCTTGACACCCTCAAAAACTCATTTTTATTCACCAAAACCCCACAAAAATCTTGATTTTTTCCCCATTTTTCCACCGAAAATCCCCATTTTTTCACCGAAAACCCCCATTTTTTTTTTGTTTTTTTCCCAAAATCCCCATTTTTCTCCCCAAAACAGGGTCCCCCGGCGTGCAAGTGGTGCACCAACTGCCCCGAGGGCGCGTGCATCGGGGCGGGCTCCAGCTGCCGCCGGGAGAACGACTGTCGCATCAACCAGCGCGAAATCTTCGCGCCCCAAAACTGCTCCGAGGCCGCCTGCGGGGCCCCCGACTGCCCCAGGTGTGCCAGCGCCGGCAGGTGCATGTGGACTCGCCAGTTCAAGAGGACAGGTGAGCGATTCCCAAAAAATTCCGGAGATTTTTGGGAATTTTTGGAGAATTTTTGGGGATTTTCGGGGATTTTTTGCAGATTTTTTGCGAATTTTGGCGGATTTTTTGGAGATTTTTGGTGATTTTGGGAGGTATCGGGAGGTTTGAGGAGTGGACTCGGCAGTTCAAGAGGACAGGTGAGGAATTTTGGGAATTTTTGGGAATTTTTGGGAATTTTTTAGGATTTTTTTTGGGATTTTTCTGAATTTTTGGGTTTTTTTTGGTGATTTTGGGATGGTTTCTGGGGGTTTTGGGGAGGTTTGGGGACATTCCAGGAGGTTTGAGGAGTGGACTCGGCAGTTCAAGAAGACAGGTGAGCAATTCCCAAAAAATTCCAGGGATTTTTGGGGATTTTTGGGGAATTTTGGGAATTTTTAGGGGATTTTAGGAAGTTTGGGGTGGATTTGGGGAGGTTTGGGGTGGATTTGGGGGTTTGCGGGGCCCCCGACTGCCCCCGGTGCGCCCGCGCCGGCAGGTGCATGTGGACACGCCAGTTCAAGAGGACAGGTGAGGAAATTTGGGAATTTTCGGGAATTTTTTGGGAATTTTTTGCGGATTTTTGGCCTTTTTTTAGGGATTTTAGATGATTTTTTGGCGATTTTTTGTGGGTTTTGGGGGGTTTTGGGAGATTTTTGGTGATTTTGGGAGGTTTGAGGAGTGGACACGGCAGTTCAAGAAGACAGGTGAGCGATTCCCAAAAAATTCCGGGGATTTTTGGGAATTTTCTGCAATTTTGGGGGAGTTTTCGCGATTTTTTAGGGATTTTTTGGGGATTTTTTGGGGTTTTTGTGGATTTTTTGGGGATTTTGGGATGGTTTCAGGGGATTTTGGGAGGTTTGAGGAGTGGACTCGGCAGTTCAAGAGGACAGGTGAGCGATTCCCAAAAAATTCCAGGGATTTTTGGGAATATTTGGGATCTTTTGGGGATTTTTGGCAATTTTTTAGGGTTTTTTGTGGATTTTGGTGTGGATTTGGGGAGATTTTTGGTGGATTTGGGGTTTTACGGAGCCCCCGACTGCCCCCGGTGCGCCAACGCCGGCAGGTGCATGTGGACACGCCAGTTCAAGAGGACAGGTAGGGAATTCCCAAAAAATTCCCGGGATTTTTGGGAATTTTTTGGGAATTTTTAGGGATTTTTAGGGATTTTTTGAGGATTTTTTGGGGATTTTTTGGGGATTTTGGGGGATTTTTGGGAGATTTTTGGTGATTTTGGGAGGTATCAGGAGGTCTGAGGAGTGGACACGGCAGTTCAAGAGGACAGGTGAGGGATTCCCAAAAAATTCCGGGAATTTTTGGGAATATTTGGGATTTTTGGCCTTTTTTTAGGGATTTTAGATGATTTTTGGGGGATTTTAGACGATTTTTTGGCGATTTTGGGAGATTTTTGGTGATTTTGGGAGGCATCAGGAGGTTTGAGGAGTGGACTCGGACATTCAAGAGGACAGGTGAGCAATTCCCAAAAAATTCCGGGGATCTTTGGGAATATTTGGGATTTTTGTGGATTTTTGGCGATTTTTTAGGGATATTAGGAAGTTTGGGGAGGTTTTGGGGTGGTTTTAGGGAGGATTTGGGGCCATTCCAGGAGGTTTGAGGAGTGCACTCGGCAGTTCAAGAGGACAGGTGAGGAATTTCGGGAATTTTCAGGAATTTTTTGGGAATATTTGGGATTTTCTGTAGATTTTTGGGGATTTTTGGCGATTTTTTGTGGGGTTTGGGGGGTGTTTTGGAGATTTTTGGCTATTTTGGGAGGTATCAGGTGGTCTGAGGAGTGGACACGCCAGTTCAAGAGGACAGGTGAGGAATTCCCAAAAAATTCCGGGGATTTTGGGAATTTTCGGGGATTTTTGGGAATTTTTGGCCATTTTTTTAGGGTTTTTTTTGATTTTTTGGGGATTTTGGGATGGTTTCCGGGGGTTTTGGGGAGGTTTGGGGCCATTCAAGGAGGTTTCAGGAGTGGACTCAGCAGTTCAAGAGGACAGGTGAGGAATTCCGGGAATTTTCGGGAATTTTTTGGGAATTTTTAGGGATTTTCTAGGGATTTTCGGCATTTTTTGGTGATTTTTTGGGGATTTTAGGAAGTTTGGGGAGGTTTTTGGGTGGTTTAGGGAGGATTTGGGGCCATTCCAGGAGGTTTGAGGAGTGGACACGGCAGTTCAAGAGGACAGGTGAGCAATTCCCAAAAAAATCCAGTGATTTTTGGGAATATTTGGGATTTTTGAGGATTTCTTGGGAAGTTTTAGTTGATTTTAGGAAGTTTGGGGTGGATTTGGGGAGATTTTTGGTGGATTTTGGGTTTTGCGGGGCCCCCGACTGCCCCCGGTGCGCCGGCGCCGGCAGGTGCATGTGGACACGCCAGTTCAAGAGGACAGGTGAGAAATTTGGGAATTTTTGGGAATTTTTGGGAATTTTTTGCGGATTTTTGGCCTTTTTTTGGGGATTTTTGGCGATTTTTTAGGATTTCTGTGGCGTTTTGTTGGGATTTTGGGGCAGTTTCAGGGGATTTGGGGAGGTTTGAGGAGTGGACACGCCAGTTCAAGAGGACAGGTAGGGAAATTTGGGAATTTTCGGGAATTTTTTGGGAATTTTCGGGAATTTTTTGTGATTTTTTGGGGATTTTTTGTGATTTTTTGGGGATTTTTGTGGATTTTTTGGGGATTTTGTGAAGGTTTGAGGGGATTTGGGGAGGTTTGAGGAGTGGACACGGCAGTTCAAGAGGACAGGTGAGGGATTCCCAAAAAATTGCGGGAATTTTTGGGAATATTTGGAATTTTTGGCAATTTTTGGTGATTTTTTGGCGATTTTAGACGATTTTTTGGCGAATTTAGACGATTTTTTTGGGCGATTTTTTGGAGATTTTTGGTGATTTTGGGAGGTATCGGGAGGTCTGAGGAGTGGACACGGCAGTTCAAGAGGACAGGTGAGGAATTCTGGGAATTTTTGGGAATTTTTTGGGAATTTTGGGGAATTTTGGGGGACTTTTGGGGATTTTTAGGGGATTTTAGGAAGTTTGGGGAGGATTTGGGGAGATTTGTTGGGGGTTGGGGTGGATTTGGGGGTTTTCAGGGGGATTTTGGGAGGTTTGAGGAGTGGACTCAGCAGTTCAAGAGGACAGGTGAGCAATTCCCAAAAAATTCCAAGGATTTTTGGGAATTTTTTTGGATTTTTGAGGATTTTTTGGGATTTTTTTGGATTTTTTTGGGGGATTTTAGGAAGTTTGGGGTGGATTTGGGGTTTTGGGGCGCCCCCGACTGCCCCCGGTGTGCCAGCGCCGGCAGGTGCATGTGGACAAGGCAGTTCAAGAGGACAGGTGAGGGATTTTGGGGATTTTTGGGAATTTTTTGGGAATTTTGCCAATTTTTTTAGGGATTTTTTTGGATTTTTTGCGAATTTTGGGGGGTTTTTTGGAGATTTTTTGTGATTTTCGGAGGTACTGGGAAATTTGAGGTGTGGACACGGCAGTTCAAGAGGACAGGTGAGGAATTTCGAGAATTTTTGGGAATTTTCGGGAATTTTCGGGAATTTTTGGCGTTTTTTGGTGATTTTTTGGGGATTTTAGGAAGTTTCGGGAGGTTTTTGGGTGGTTTAGGGGGGATTTGGGGCCATTCCAGGAGGTTTGAGGAGTGGACACGGCAGTTCAAGAGGACAGGTGAGCAATTCCCAAAAAATTCCAGGGATTTTTGGTGATTTTTTGGGAATTTTGGGAATTTTTAGGGGATTTTAGGAAGTTTGGGAAGGATTTGGGGAGATTTGGGGTGGATTTGGGGTGATTTGGGATGGATTTGGGGTTTTGGGGAGCCCCCGACTGCCCCAGGTGCGCCGGCGCCGGCAGGTGCATGTGGACACGCCAGTTCAAGAGGACAGGTGGGGAATTCCCAAAAAATTCCGGGGATTTTTGGGAATTTTTGGCGATTTTTGGGGAATTTTTGGTGATTTTTGGAGGATTTTTTTTGATTTTTCGGGGATTTTGGGGAATTTTTTGGAGATTTTTGGTGATTTTGGGAGGTATCGGGAGTTTTGAGAAGTGGACCCGGCAGTTCAAGAGGACAGGTGAGGAATTCCCAAAAAATTCCGGGGATTTTTGGGAATATTTGGGATTTTTGGCATTTTTTGGCGATTTTAGACGATTTTTTGGCGATTTTAGACGATTTTTGGGGGATTTTGGGAGATTTTTGGTGATTTTGGGGGGATTTTGGGAGGTTTGAGGAGTGGACACGGCAGTTCAAGAGGACAGGTGAGCGATTCCCAAAAAATTCCGGGGATTTTTGGGAATATTTGGGATTTTTTTGGGATTTTCTGTGAACTTTTAGCGATTTTTTTTTTATTTTTTTCGATTTTTTTGGGGATTTTGGGGCAGTTTCAGGGGGATTTGGGGAGGTTTGAGGAGTGGACCAGGCAGTTCAAGAAGACAGGTGAGCGATTCCCAAAAAATTCCGTGGATTTTTGGGAATATTTGGGATTTTTTGGGATTTTTTGGATTTTTTTGGGATTTTGGGATGGTTTCAGGGGGTTTTGGGGAGGTTTGGGGCCATTCCAGGAGACCTGACCTGTGCCCACCTGTGCCCACCTGTGCCCACCTGTGCCCAGGTGAGACCCAACCCATCCTGACCATGTACGTGGGATGAATTAGGGACCAGTAAGAACCAGTAAGAACCAGTAAGAACCACCAAAATCAAACTGGGAGGGCTCCCTGAACTCTATACCTGTCAGTACCCACCTGTGCCCACCTGTGCCCACCTGTGCCCACCTGTGCCCAGGTGAGACCCGCCGCATCCTGAGCGTGGGGCTGGGATGAATTAGGGACCAGTAAGAACCAGTAAGAACCACTGAAGTTAAACTGGGGGGGTTCCCTGAACTCTTTACCTGTCCGTGCCCACCTGTGCCCACCCGTGCCCACCTGTGCCCAGGTAAGACCTGACCCATCCTGAGCGTGGGGCTGGGATGAACTGGGGACATTTAGTGACCATTAGGAACCAGTAAGAACCAGTGAGGTCAAACTGGGGGGGTTCCCTGAAGCTTTACCTGCCCATGCCAACCTGTGCCCACCTGTGAGTGCCCACCTGTGCCCACCCGTGCCCAGGTGAGACCCGTCGCATCCTGAGCGTGGGGCTGGGATGAATTAGGGACCAGTAAGAGCCACCGAAATCAAACTGGGAGGGTTCCCTGACCTCTTTACCTGTGAGTGCCAACCCGTGCCCAGGTGAGACCTCACCTGTGCCCACCTGTGCCCACCTGTGCCCACCTGTGCCCAGGTGAGACGCGTCGCATCCTGAGTGTGGGGCTGGGATGAACTGGGGACATTTAGGGACCAGTAAGAACCAGTAAGAACAAACTGGGGGGGTTCCCTGACTCCCTTACCTGTGAGTGCCCAGGTGAGACCTGACCTGTGCCCACCTGTGCCCACCTGTGCCCACGTGTGCCCAGGTGAGACGCGCCGCATCCTGAGCGTGCAGCCGGCCTACGAGTGGACGTGCTTCAGCCACTCGCTGCTGAACGTGTCGCCGATGCCGGTGGAGTCGGCGCCGCCGCTGCCGTGCCCGCGGCCGTGCCACCTGCAGCGCACCTGCGCCGCGTGCCTGGCATCGGCGGGCGCCGACGGCGGCTGGCAGCACTGCCTCTGGAGCCTGGCACTCAGACAGGTGGGTGCGCCTGATCCCCACGCGGTTATACCTTTTTAGTTTAATTTTTTTCCCCTTTTTTCCGTTTTTCCCCATTTTTTCCCATTTTTTCCCCATTTTTTAAACATATTTTCCCCCATTTTTTCCCATTTTTTTAGATTTTTTTTCCCATTTTCCCCCATTTTTTTTAGATTTTTCCCCCCATTTTCCCCATTGTTCCTCCATTTTTTCCCATTTTTTTAAGATTTCTTTCCCATTTTTTCCCATTTTTCCCATTTTTTTCCATTTTATTCCCATTTTACCCCATTTTTCCCCCATTTTTTCCCCATTTTTCCCCATCTTTAAAAGATATTTTCCCCTATTTTCCCCCATTTTTTCCCGTTTTCTTCCCAGTTTTTAAGATTTTTTCCCCATTTTTTCCAATTTTTTTTAAGATTTTTTTTTCCCATTTTATTTAAGATTTTTTCCCAATTTTTTCCCATTTTTCCTATTTTTTCCTTTTTTCCCCCTTTTTTCCCCCATTTTTTCCCATTTTTCCCACTTTTAAAGATATTTCCCCCCATTTTTTCCCATTTTTTTCTAATTTTTCCCCATCTTTCCCCATTTTTCCCGATTTTTAAATTTTTTTCTCCCCATTTTTCCCCATTTTCCCCATTTTTTCCTATTTTTTCCCATGTTTTTTAGATTTCTTTTCCCGCTTTTCCCCATTTTTTCCCAATTTTTCCCCATTTTTCCCTTTTTCCCCATTTTTTCCCTATTTTCCCTATTTTTTCCTAATTTTTTCCCATTTTCTTCCCATTTTTTAAGATTTTTCCCCCATTTTCCCCCATTTTTTCCCTTTTTTCCCCATTTTTTCCCTATTTTCCCTATTTTTTCCTAATTTTTTCCCATTTTCTTCCCATTTTTTAAGATTTTTCCCCCATTTTCCCCCATTTTTTCCCTTTTTTCCCCATTTTTCCCCCCATTTTTTCCCATTTTTTTCCTCCATTTTTCCCATTTTTCCCATTATTTCCCCTTTTTTCCCACTTTTTTTAGATTTTTTCCCCCCATTTTTCCCCATTTTCCCCATTTTTTCCCCATTTTCCCCATTTTTCCCCCATTTTTCCCATTTTTTTCCCATTTTTTCCCCATTTTTCCCTATTTTTCCCCCATTTTTTCCCATTTTTAAAAAACATTTCCCCCCATTTTTTCCCGTTTTTTTTTCACTTTGTTCCCCATTTTTTCCCATTTTTTCCTCATTTTTTAAAGATATTTTCCCCCATTTTCCCCCATTTTTTCCCTTTTTTTTCCCCTTTTTTCCCGCATTTTTCCATTTTTGCCCCATTTTCCACCATTTTTTTCACCATTTTCCCCCCATTTTTTCCCCATTTTTTCCCTTTTTCCCCAATTTTCCCCCATTTTTTCCCCATTTTCCCCCATTTTTTTCTCATTTTTCCCCATTTCTCCCCCATTTTCCCCATTTTTTTTCCCATTTTACCCTATTTTTTTCCCCATTTTTTGCCTTTTTTTTCCCAATTTTTCCCCATTTTTTCCCCATTTTCCCCCATTTTTTCCCATTTTTCCCCATTTTTTCCCCATTTTTCCCCAGTTTATTAATCCGGGACATTCCGGGTGGGATTTTGGGGCAATTTCAGGTTAATTTTGACCCATTTCTAACCCCATTTAACCCTTTCCTCCCCAGTGCCTGAGCCCCAAATTCGCCCCCCTGCGCTGCCTGGCCAGGGGCACTTTTGGGGGTTTTTGGGGTTTTTTTGGGGCATTTGGGGGTTTTTTGGGGGAATTATTTTGGGGCTTTTTGGGGGGGTTCTTTTGGGGGTGTTTTTTGGGGTTTTTTTGGGCTCTTTCGGGGATTTTTGGGGGTTTTTTTGGGGAATTCTTTTGGGGCTTTTTGGGGTTTTTTTTTTGGAAATTCTTTTGGGGATTCTTTTGGGGATTTTTGGGGGGTTCTTTTGGGGATTTTTGCGGGGGGTTTTGGGGGTTTTTTGGGCTCTTTCGGGGTTTTTTGGGGATTTTTTTGGGGTTTTTTTTTGGGAATTCTTTTGGGGGGTTTTTTGGGCTCTTTTGAGGTTTTTTGGGGAATTTTTGGGGGTTTTTTGGGAATTCTTTTGGGGAGATTCTTTGGGGATTTTTGGGGGTTCTTTTGGGGCTTTTTTTGGGGCTCTTTTGGGGGTTTTTTGGGGGTTTTTGGGGCTCTTTAGAGGTTTTTCTGGGGATTTTTTTGGGTTTTTTGGGGGTTTTTTGGGCTGTTTGGGGACTTGCATTTCCAGGATTTCGGGGCTATTTGGGGGTGGGATTTTGGGGCAATTTTAGGTTATTTCTGACCCATTTCTAACACCATTTAACCCTTTCCTCCCCAGTGCCTGAGCCCCAGCTTCGCCCCCCTGCTCTGCCTGGCCGGGGGCTGTGGCCGCCTCCTGCGGGGGGGGGGGTGGGGGAGGGGGTCTCCCCTCCCCCCCGGGGGGTCTCCCCTCCCCCCCCGAGCGCTGCCCCTCCCCCCCCGAGTGCGGGGGGGCGTCCCAGTGCTCCCAGTGCCTGCGGCGGCCGCGCTGCGGGTGGTGCGCCCGGGGGGGGCACAGCGGGGCCGGGCGCTGCCTCCAGGGCGGCATCAGCGGGCCCCTGAAAGGTGAGGATTTGGGGGAAAAAATGGGGATTTTGGGAAAAAATTGGGGATTTCGGGGGGTTTTGTGCAGTTTTGGGGCATTTAAAGGGGGTTTTGGGCCATTTAAAAGGGGTTTTGGGGAGTGTTTTATGGGCATTGGGGGGTTTAGGGGGGAATTTGGGGGATTTTCTGTGGGGTTTTGGGAAAAATTTGGGAATTTTGGTGAAAAAATGTGAATTTTGGGGAATTTTAGAGAGTTTTGGGGGGGTTTGGAGGGGTTTTGGGGCAATTCAAGGGGATTTCGGGGGGGTTCTGAGGGGTCTTGGGGTCTTTAGGGGCATTGGGGGGGGTTAGGGGGGAATTTGGAGGATATTTGGGAATTTTGGAGATTTTTGGGAAAATTTGGGGAATTTGGGGAATTTTGGGAGGGATTTGAGGGGTTTGGGGCAATTTTTGGGGGGATTTCGGGGCATTTAAAGGGGGTTTTGGGGGCGTTTTATGGGGGTGTTTTATGGGCATTGGGGGGGTTTAGGAGGGAATTTGGGGGATTTTTGGGTGGATTTTGGGGGATTTTTGGGGAAAGTTTGGGAATTTTTGGGAAAAGTGTATTTTGGGGAATTTTAGGGAGTTTTGGGGAGGTTTGGGGGGGTTTTGGGTCAATTCAAGGGGATTTCGGGCGGGTTCTGGGAGGTCTTGTGGGTGTTTTATGGGCATTGGGGGGGGTTAGGGGGGAATTTGGGGGATTTTTGGGGAAAATTTGGGAATTTTTGGGAAAAAATGTGAATTTTGGGGAATTCTGGGAAGATTTGGGGGGTTTTGGGAATAATTTGGGGGGTTTGGGGAATAATTTGGGGGATTTTGGGGCATTTAAAGGGGGTTTGGGGGGGGTGGTATTTTCTGTAGGATTTTTGGAATTTTTGGTTGGAATTTTGGGTTTTTTGGGAATTTTGGGAATTTCCAGTCTCACTTCCGGGTTACCTGTACCAGGTGCGTCCGAGACCTGCGGGACCTTCTCTGGGGCCGTTTTTTGGGGCAGTTTTTGGGGTTTTTTTGTAGAAATTTTGATGTTTTCATAGGATTTTTGGGATTTTTTGGGGAATTTTTGTGAATTTCGGGATAATTCCGCTCTCACTTCCGGGTTACCTGCCCCAGGTGCGTCCGAGACCTGCGGGACCTTCCCTGGGGCCGTTTTTTGGGGCATTTTTTGGTGGTTTTTGTAGAAATTTTGGTGTTTTTTATAGGATTTTTGGATCTTTTTGGGTTTTTTTGGGGAATTTTTGGGAATTTTGGGATAATTCCGCTCTCACTTCCGGGTTACCTGCGCCAGGTGCGTCCGAGACCTGCGGGGCCTTCCCTGGGGCCGTTTTTTGTGGCAGTTTTGGGGTTTTTTGGGGCAATTTTGGGTTTTCTTTGTAGGATTTTTGGGATTTTTGGTTGGAATTTTGGATTTTTTGGGAATTTGGGGATAATTCTGGTCTCACTTCCGGGTTACCTGTACCAGGTGTGCCCCAGGTGTGCAGGACCTTCCCTGGGGCTATTTTGGGTTTTTTTGTAGGAATTTTGGGGTTTTTTGTTGAAATTTTGTTGTTTTTTGTAGGATTTTTGGGGTTTTTTTGGGAATTTGGGAATTTCCAGTCTCACTTCCGGGTTACCTGCACCAGGTGTGCCCCAGGTGTGCAGTACCTTCCCTGGGGCTATTTTGGGGTTTTTTGTAGGATTTTTGGAGTTTTTTGTAGAAATTTTGGGTTTTTTTGTAGAAATTTTGGGTTTTTTTGGGGAATTTTGGGAATTTCGGGATAATTCCAGCCTCACTTCCGGGTTACCTGCGCCAGGTGCGTCCGAGACCTGTGGGGCCTTCCCTGGGGCCATTTTTTGGGGCAGTTTTGGAGTTTTTTGGGGCAGTTTTTGGGTTTTTTTGTAGGATTTTTGGTGGTTTTTTGTAGGTTTTTTTAGGGAATTTTGGGTTTTTTGGGAATTTTGGGAATTTCCAGCCTCACTTCCGGGTTACCTGCGCAGGTGCGTCCGAGACCTGCGGGCCGGGGGAGGTTTGGGCCTTCCTGAGCTGCCCCCCCGAGGACGAGTGCGAGAACGGGCACCACACCTGCGGGCCCAGCCAGGTGTGCCGCGACCTGCCCGACGGCTTCACCTGCGCCTGCCGGGAGGGGTTCAGCCCCGACAGGTGAGCCACACACCTGGGCAGGTGAGGGACACACCTGGGCAGGGCAGGGACACACCTGGGCAGGTGAGGGACACACCTGGGCAGGGCAGGGACACACCTGGGCAGGTGAGGGACACACCTGGGCAGGTGAGGGACACACCTGCGGGCCCAGCCAGGTGTGCCGCGACCTGCCCGACGGCTTCACCTGCGCCTGCCGGGACGGCTACAGCCCCGACAGGTGAGTGACACACCTGGGCAGGTGAGGGACACACCTGGGCAGGTGAGGGACACACCTGGGTGGGACAGGGACACACCTGGGCAGGTGAGGGACACACCTGGGCAGGTGAGGGATGGGACAGGGACACACCTGGGTGGGGCAGGGACACACCTGGGCGGGGCAGGGACACACCCCGACGGCTTCACCTGCGCCTGCCGGGAGGGGTACAGCCCCGACAGGTGAGCCACACACCTGGGCAGGTGAGGGTGGGGCGGGGACACACCTGGGCAGGGCAGGGACACACCTGGGTGGGACAGGGACACACCTGGGCAGGTGAGGGACACACCTGGGCAGGTGAGGGACACACCTGGGTGGGACAGAGACACACCTGGGCAGGTGAGGGACACACCTGGGCGGGGCAGGGACACACCTGGGCAGGTGAGGGACACACCTGGGTGGGACAGGGACACACCTGGGCAGGTGAGGGACACACCTGGGCAGGTGAGGGACACACCCCGATGGCTTCACCTGCGCCTGCCGGGACGGCTACAGCCCCGACAGGTGAGTGACACACCTGGGCAGGTGAGGGTGGGGCGGGGACACACCTGGGCAGGGCAGGGACACACCTGGGTGGGACAGGGACACACCTGGGCAGGTGAGGGACACACCTGGGCAGGTGAGGGACACACCTGGGTGGGACAGAGACACACCTGGGCAGGTGAGGGACACACCTGGGCGGGGCAGGGACACACCTGGGCAGGTGAGGGACACACCTGGGTGGGACAGGGACACACCTGGGCGGGGCAGGGACACACCTGGGCAGGTGAGGGACACACCCCGATGGCTTCACCTGCGCCTGCCGGGACGGCTACAGCCCCGACAGGTGAGGACACACCTGGGCGGGTGAGGGACACACCTGGGCAGGTGAGGGTGGGACAGGGACACACCTGGGGGGGACAGGGACACACCTGGGCGGGGCGGGGACACACCTGGGCGGGGCAGGGACACACCTGGGCAGGTGAGGGACACACCCCGATGGCTTCACCTGCGCCTGCCGGGACGGCTACAGCCCCGACAGGTGAGTGACACACCTGGGCAGGTGAGAAATGGAACAGGGACACACCTGGGTGGGGCAGGGACACACCTGGGTGGGTGACAAATGGGACAGGGACACACCTGGGCAGGGCAGGGACACACCTGGGCAGGTGAGAAATGGGGCGGGGACACACCTGGGCAGGTGAGAAATGGGACGGGTACAGCCCCGACAGGTGAGGACACACCTGGGCAGGTGAGAAATGGGACAGGGACACACCTGGGTGGGTGAGGGATGGGGTGGGGTATCTCAGGTGTGCCCAGGTGTGCCCCAGGTATGCCCCAGGTGTATCTCAGGTGCCCCCAGGTGTGCCCCAGGTGTGCCCCAGGTGTGCCTGGGCGCCCCTCCCTGACCAGGTGTGCCCCCAGCACCTCCCCCTGCCCAGGTGTGCCCCAGGTGTATCTCAGGTCTGCCCAGGCGCCCCTCCCCCTGACCAGGTGTACCCCAGGTGTGCCCCAGGTGTGCCCCAGCTGTATCTCAGGTGCCCCCAGCCCCGCCCTGACCAGGTGTGCCCCAGGTGTGCCCCAGCCCCTGCCCAGGTGTGCCCAGGTGTGCCCGGGTGCCCCTCCCTGCCCAGGTGTGCCCAGGTGTGCCCCAGGTGTGTCCCCAGCCCCTCCCTGACCAGGTGTGGCCCAGGTGTGCCCAGGTGTGCCCCAGGTGTATCTCAGGTGCCCCCAGCCCCTCCCCCTGCCCAGGTGTGCCCCAGGTGTGCCCCAGGTGTGCCCCCAGGCCCCTCCCCTTGCCCAGGTGTGCCCCAGGTGTGCCCCAGGTGTATCTCAGGTGTGCCCCAGCCCTGCCCTGCCCAGGTGTGCCCAGGTGCCCCCAGCCCCTCCCCCTGCCCAGGTGTGCCCCAGGTATACCCCAGGTGTATCCCAGGTGTATCCCAGGTGTGCCCCAGGTGTGCCCAGGTGTGCCCAGGTGCCCCTCCCCTGACCAGGTGTGCCCCAGGTGTATCTCAGGTGTGCCCCCAGCCCCTCCCCCTGCCCAGGTGTATCTCAGGTGCCCCAGGTGCCCCCAGCCCCTCCCTGCCCAGGTGTGCCCCAGGTGAGCCCGGGCGCCCCTCCCTGACCAGGTGTGCCCCAGGTGTGCCCAGGAGTATCTCAGGTGTATCTCAGGTGTATCTCAGGTGTGCCCCAGGTGTATCTCAGGTGTGCCCCAGGTGTGCCCCAAGTCTATCTCAGGTATCTCAGATGTATCTCAGGTATCTCAGGTGTGCCCCAGGTGTATCTCAGGTGCCCCCAGCCCCTCCCCTGCCCAGGTGTGCCCCAGGTGTGCCCCAGGTGTGCCCGGGCGCCCCACCCTGCCCAGGTGTGCCCAGGTGTATCCCAGGTGTGCCCCAGGTGTGCCCCAGGTGTGCCCCAGGTGTGCCCCCAGCCCCTCACCTGTGCCTAGGTGTGCCCCAGGTGTGCCCCCAGCCCCCTCCCTAACCAGGTGTGCCCCGCCCAGCCGCACAGGTGAGTGCCGCCCCGTGTGCCGCCAGGGCTGCGCCAACGGCACCTGCGTGGAGCCCGACAGGTGCCGCTGCCACTTCGGCTTCGTGGGCAGCGACTGCGGCGTCACCTGCGCCTGCAACGGGCACAGCGACTGCGCCGGGCCCCGAGCAACCGACACCTGTCTGCAGTGCCACAACAACACCCAGGTGAGTGCCAGGTGTGTTACCTGGGCACAGGTGTGTTACCTGGGTGGGGTTACCTGGGTGGGGTTACCTGGGTGGGTACCCGACTGCGCCGGGCCGCATGCAACAGACACCTGTCTGCAGTGCCACAACAACACCCAGGTGAGTGTTACCTGGGCACAGGTGTGTTACCTGGGTGGGCACAGCGACTGCGCCGGGCCCCGCGCCACCGACACCTGTCTGCAGTGCCACAACAACACCCAGGTGAGTGTTACCTGGGCACAGGTGAGTGCCAGGTGAGGTACCCGACTGTGGCGTTACCTGCGCCTGCAACGGGCACAGCGACTGCGCCGGGCCGCATGCAACGGACACCTGTCTGCAGTGCCACAACAACACCCAGGTGAGTGTTACCTGAGTGCCAGGTGTGCCAGGTGTGTTACCTGGGTGGGTGCCCGACTGCGGCGTTACCTGCGCCTGCAACGGGCACAGCGACTGCGCCGGGCCGCATGCAACAGACACCTGTCTGCAGTGCCACAACAACACCCAGGTGAGTGCCAGGTGTGCCCAGGTGAGTGCCAGGTGTGTTACCTGGGTGGGCACAGCGACTGCGCCGGGCCGCATGCAACAGACACCTGTCTGCAGTGCCACAACAACACCCAGGTGAGTGCCAGGTGTGCCCTGGTGTGTTACCTGGGTGCCAGGTGTGTTACCTGGGTGCCAGGTGAGTGCCAGGTGGGGTTACCTGGGTGCCAGGTGAGTGCCAAGTGTGTTACCTGGGTGCCAGGTGTGTTACCTGGGTGGGCACAGCGACTGCGCCGGGCCCCGCGCCACCGACACCTGTCTGCAGTGCCACAACAACACCCAGGTGAGTGTTACCTGGGCACAGGTGAGTGCCAGGTGTGTTACCTGGGTGGGGTTACCTGGGTGCCAGGTGGGGTTACCTGGGTGGGCACAGCGACTGCGCCGGGCCACATGCAACAGACACCTGTCTGCAGTGCCACAACAACACTCAGGTGAGTGTTACCTGGGCACAGGTGAGTGCCAGGTGTGTTACCTGGGTGCCAGGTGTGCCCAGGTGGGGTTACCTGGGTGGGCACAGCGACTGCGCCGGGCCCCGCGCCACCGACACCTGTCTGCAGTGCCACAACAACACCCAGGTGAGTGCCAGGTGTGTTACCTGGGCACAGGTGTGTTACCTGGTGTGTTACCTGGGTGCCAGGTGGGGTTACCTGGGCACAGGTGTGTTACCTGGTGTGTTACCTGGGTGCCAGGTGAGTGTTACCTGGGCACAGGTGAGTGCCAGGTGTGTTACCTGAGTGCCAGGTGTGTTACCTGGTGTGTTACCTGGGCACAGGTGTGTTACCTGGGTGGGGTTACCTGGGTGCCAGGTGTGTTACCTGGGTGCCAGGTGAGTGCCAGGTGTGTTACCTGGGTGCCAGGTGGGGTTACCGGGGTGCCAGGTGAGTGCCAGGCGAGTGTTACCTGGGTGCCAGGTGAGCTCAGGTGTGTTACCTGGGTGCCAGGTGAGTGCCAGGTGTGTTACCTGGGTGCCAGGTGGGTTACCTGGGCACAGGTGTGTTACCTGGTGTGTTACCTGGGTGGGTGCCCGACTGCGGCGTTACCTGCGCCTGCAACGGGCACAGCGACTGCGCCGGGCCGCATGCAACGGACACCTGTCTGCAGTGCCACAACAACACCCAGGTGAGTGTTACCTGGGCACAGGTGTGTTACCTGGGCACAGGTGTGTTACCTGGGTGGGCACAGCGACTGCGCCGGGCCCCGCGCCACCGACACCTGTCTGCAGTGCCACAACAACACCCAGGTGAGTGCCAGGTGTGTGCCAGGTGTGTTATCTGGGTGCCAGGTGGGGTTACCTGGGTGCCAGGTGAGTGCCAGGTGTGTTACCTGGGTGGGTGCCCGACTGCGGCGTTACCTGCGCCTGCAACGGGCACAGCGACTGCGCCGGGCCGCATGCAACAGACACCTGTCTGCAGTGCCACAACAACACCCAGGTGAGTGTTACCTGGGCACAGGTGAGTGCCAGGTGTGCCCAGGTGTGTTACCTGGGTGGGTGCCCGGCTGCGGCGTTACCTGCGCCTGCAACGGGCACAGCGACTGCGCCGGGCCCGGGGCAACAGACACCTGTCTGCAGTGCCACAACAACACCCAGGTGAGTGCCAGGTGTGCTCAGGTGGGGTTACCTGGGCGGGCACAGCGACTGCGCCGGGCCGCATGCAACGGACACCTGTCTGCAGTGCCACAACAACACCCAGGTGAGTGCCAGGTGTGCCCAGGTGTGTGCCAGGTGTGTTACCTGGGTGCCAGGTGAGGTTATGTGGGTGCCAGGTGTGTTACCTGGGTGCCAGGTGAGCTCAGGTGTGCTTGGGAATGGTTACCTGGGTGCCAGGTGGGGTTACCTGGGTGCCAGGTGAGCTCAGGTGGGGTTACCTGGGTGCCAGGTGTGTTACCTGGGTGGGGTTACCTGAGTGCCAGGTGTGTTACCTGGGTGCCAGGGGGGTTACCTGGGTGCCAGGTGTGTTACCTGGTGTGTTACCTGGGTGCCAGGTGTGTTACCTGGGTGCCAGGGGGGTTACCTGGGTGCCAGGTGTGTTACCTGGGTGCCAGGTGTGTTACCTGGGTGCCAGGTGAGTGTTACCTGGGTGCCAGGTGTGTTACCTGGGTGCCAGGTGGGGTTACCTGGGCACAGGTGTGTTACCTGAGTGCCAGGTGTGTGCCAGGTGTGTTACCTGGGTGCCAGGTGGGGTTACCTGGGTGCCAGGTGTGTTACCTGGGTGCCAGGTGAGTGTTACCTGGGTGCCAGGTTTGTTACCTGGGTGCCAGGTGGGTTACCTGGGCACAGGTGAGTGCCAGGTGGGGTTACCTGGCTGCCAGGTGGGGTTACCTGGGTGCCAGGTGAGTGCCAGGTGTGCCCAGGTGAGTGCCAGGTGAGGTACCCGACTGCGGCGTCACCTGCGCCTGCAACGGGCACAGCGACTGCACCGGGCCGCATGCAACGGACACCTGTCTGCAGTGCCACAACAACACCCAGGTGAGTGCCAGGTGTGTTACCTGGGTGCCAGGTGTGTTACCTGGGTGCCAGGTGGGGTTACCTGGGTGGGCACAGCGACTGCGCCGGGCCGCATGCAACGGACACCTGTCTGCAGTGCCACAACAACACCCAGGTCAGTGCCAGGTGTGCCCAGGTGGGGTTACCTGGGTGCCAGGTGAGTGCCAGGTGTGTTACCTGGGTGCCAGGTGTGTTACCTGGGCACAGGTGTGTTACCTGGGTGCCAGGTGTGCCCAGGTGTGTTACCTGGGTGGGCACAGCGACTGCGCCGGGCCCCGCGCCACCGACACCTGTCTGCAGTGCCACAACAACACCCAGGTGAGTGCCAGGTGTGCCCAGGTGAGTGCCAGGTGTGTTACCTGGGTGCCAGGAGGGGTTACCTGGGTGCCAGGTGGGTTCTAGGTGGGGTTACCTGGGCACAGGTGTGTTACCTGGGTGGGTGCCCGACTGCGGCGTTACCTGCGCGTGCAACGGGCACAGCGACTGCGCCGGGCCACATGCAACAGACACCTGTCTGCAGTGCCACAACAACACCCAGGTGAGTGTTACCTGGGCACAGGTGTGTTACCCGGGTGCCAGGTGAGCTCAGGTGGGTTACCTGGGTGCCAGGTGTGTTACCTGGGTGGGCACAGCGACTGCGCCGGGCCCTGCGCCACCCACACCTGTCTGCACTGCCGCAACAACACCCAGGTGAGTGCCAGGTGTGTTACCTGGGTGCCAGGTGAGTGCCAGGTGGGGTTACCTGGGTGCCAGGTGAGCTCAGGTGGGTTACCTGGGTGCCAGGTGTGTTACCTGGGTGCCAGGAGGGGTTACCTGGGTGCCAGGTGGGGTTACCTGGGTGCCAGGTGGGGTTACCTGAGTGCCAGGTGTGTTACCTGGGTGCCAGGTGGGGTTACCTGAGTGCCAGGTGTGTTACCTGGGTTACCTGGGTGCCAGGTGTGTTACCTGGGTGGGCACAGCGACTGCGCCGGGCCCCACGCCACGGACACCTGTCTGCAGTGCCACAACAACACCCAGGTGAGTGTTACCTGGGCACAGGTGTGTTACCTGGGTGCCAGGTGTGTTACCTGGGTGCCAGGTGTGCCAGGTGGGTTACCTGGGTGCCAGGTGGGGTTAGCTGGGCACAGGTGTGTTACCTGGTGTGTTACCTGGGTGCCAGGTGTGTTACCTGGGTGCCAGGTGGGGTTACCTGGGTGCCAGGTGTGTTACCTGGGTGCCAGGTGTGTTACCTGGGTGCCAGGTGTGTTACCTCGGTGCCAGGTGAGGTTACCTGGGTGCCAGGTGAGGGTTACCTGGGTGCCAGGTGTGTTACCTGGGTGCCAGGTGTGTTACCTGGTGTGTTACCTGGGTGCCAGGTGGGTTACCTGGGTGCCAGGTGTGTTCCCTGGTGTGTTACCTGGGTGCCAGGTGTGTTATCTGGGTGCCAGGTGTGCCCAGGTGTGTTACCTGGGTGCCAGGTGAGTGCCAGGTGTGTTACCTGGGTGCCAGGTGAGCTCAGGTGTGTTACCTGGGTGCCAGGTGTGTTACCTGGGTGCCAGGTGGGGGTACCTGGGTGCCAGGTGTGTTACCTGGTGTGTTACCTGGGTGCCAGGTGGGGGTACCTGGGTGCCAGGTGAGTGTTACCTGGGTGCCAGGTGTGTTACCTGGGTGGGGTTACCTGGGTGCCACGTGAGTGCCAGGTGGGTTACCTGAGTGCCAGGTGTGCCCAGGTGTGTTACCTGAGTGCCAGGTGTGTTACCTCGGTGCTGGGTGGGGTTACCTGAGTGCCAGGTGTGCCAGGTGTGTTACCTGGGTGCCAGGTGTGTTACCTGGGTGCCAGGTGGGGTTACCTGGGTGCCAGGTGGGGTTACCTGGGTGCCAGGTATGTTACCTGGGTGCCAGGTGTGCTCAGGTGTGTTACCTGGGTGCCAGGTGTGTTACTTGGGTGCCAGGTGTGCCCAGGTGGGGTTACCTGGGCACAGGTGTGTTACCTGGGTGCCAGGTGGGGTTACCTGGGTGCCAGGTGGGGTTACCTGGGTGCCAGGTGGGGGTACCTGGGTGCCAGGTGGGGGTACCTGGGTGCCAGGTGTGCCCAGGTGGTGTTACCTGGGTGCCAGGTGGGGTTACCTGGGTGCCAGGTGGGTGCCAGGTGTGTTACCTGGGTGCCAGGTGTGTTACCTGGGTGCCAGGTGGGGTTACCTGGGTGCCAGGTGTGTTACCTGGGTGCCAGACGAGCTCAGGTGGGGTTACCTGGGTGCCAGGTGTGTTACCTGGGTGCTCAAGTGTGCCCAGGTGGGGTTACCTGGGTGCCAGGTGAGTGCCAGGTGAGGTTACCTTGGGTGCCAGGTGTGTTACCTGGATGCCAGTTGGGGTTACCTGGGTGCCAGGTGTGTTACCTGGGTGCCAGGTGGGGTTACCTGGGTGCCAGGTGGGGTTACCTGGGTGCCAGGTGAGGTTACCTGGGTGCCAGGTGGGGTTACCTGGGTGCCAGGTGTGCCCAGGTGGGGTTACCTGGGTGCCAGGTGTGTTACCTGGGTGGGCACAGCGACTGCGCCGGGCCCCGCGCCACGGACACCTGTCTGCAGTGCCACAACAACACCCAGGTGAGTGTTACCTGGGCACAGGTGAGTGCCAGGTGTGCCCAGGTGGGGTTACCTGGGTGGGCACAGCGACTGCGCCGGGCCCCACGCCACGGACACCTGTCTGCAGTGCCACAACAACACCCAGGTGAGTGTTACCTGGGCACAGGTGTGTTACCTGGGTGCCAGGTGAGCTCAGGTGGGTTACCTGGGTGGGTACCTGACTGCGCCGGGCCCCACGCCATGGACACCTGCCTGCAGTGCCACAACAACACCCAGGTGAGTGCCAGGTGTGTTACCTGAGTGCCAGGTGTGTTACCTGGGTGCCAGGTGTGTTACCTGGGTGCCAGGTGAGCTCAGGTGTGCTTGGGAATGGTTACCTGGGTGCCAGGTGGGGTTACCTGGGTGCCAGGTGTGCTCAGTTGTGCCCAGGTGGGGTTACCTGGGTGCCAGGTGAGCTCAGGTGTGTTACCTGGGTGCCAGGTGGGGTTACCTGGGTGCCAGGTGTGTTACCTGGGTGCCAGGTGTGCCACGTGTGTTACCTGGGTGCCAGGGGGGTTACCTGGGTGCCAGGTGGGGGTACCTGGGTGCCAGGTGGGGGTACCTGGGTGCCAGGTGAGCTCAGGTGGGGTTACCTGGGTGCCAGGTAGGGGTTACCTGTAACACACCTGTGCACACCTGTAACACACCTGTACCACACCTGTGCACACCTGCAGGGCCCGCAGTGCCAGCGCTGCCGCCCGCTGTTCGTGGGCTCCGCCCTCGGGGGGGGCACCTGCCTCACCTGCCGCTCCTTCTGCCGCCACCGCGCCGACGTCTGCCTGAGCCGCGCCGACCTGGAGCGGCACCGGCGCCAGCCCGACAGGTACCCCCTGGAGCCCCACCTGGTGAGCACCTGCGGGAAACTGGGGGGGTCAGGGCACCTGGGGTACACCTGGGCACACCTGGGGGCACACCTGGGGGATGGGGGCACACCTCTGCACACACCTGGGCACACCTGGGCACACACCTGGGCACACCTGAGGGGGGGCACAGCTGGGGATTCACTGGGGCACTCACCTGGGCACACCTGGGGGCTGGAGACACACCTGGGTACTCACTTGGGCACACCTGGGCATACACCTGGGCACACCTTGAGGGTGGGGACACATCTGGGGACACTCCTGGGCACACCTGGGGATTCACCTGGGCACTACTGGGGAGCGGGAACACACCTGGGCACACCTGGGGACACGGGATACACCTGGGGACACACCTGGGCACACCTGCAGGGTGGGGACACACCTGGGCACATCTGGGGATGTTCCTGGGCACACCTGGAGCACACCTGGGCACACCTGGGGGGTGGGGACACACTTGGGGACGCACCTGGGCACACCTGGGGATTCACCTGTGCACACATGGGGGGTGGAAACACACCTGGGGACTGACCTGGGCACACCTGGGGACTCACCTGGGGAGTGGGAACTCACCTGGGCACATCTGGGGATTCACCTGGGCACACCTGGGGGGTGGGGATACACCTGGACACACACCTGGGCACACCTGGGCATTCACCTGGGCACACCTGGGGGGTGGGGACACACCTGAGCACACCTGGGAACTCACCTGGGCACACCTGGGGATACACCTGGGGGGTGGGGACACACCTGGGCACACTTGGGGAGTGGGGGCACACCTGGGTACTCACATGGAGGGTGGGGACACACCTGGGAACTCACCTGGGCACACCTGAGGATTCACCTGGGCACACCTGGGGGGTGGGGACACACCTGAGGGGTGGGCACACCTGGGGATTCACCTTGGGACACACCTGGGCACACCTCGGGGGTTGGGGCACACTTGGGGACACACCTGGGCACACCTGGGGATGTACTTGGGCACACTTGGGGAGTGGGAACACACCTGGGCACACCTGGGGACGTACCTGATTGGTGGGGACACACCTGGGCACTCACCTGGGGATACACCTGGGGGGTGGGGGCACACCTGGGGACTCACCTGGGGGGTGGGGACTCACCTTGGGGATGGGGACACACCTGGGAACTCACCTGGGGGGTGGGGGCACACCTGGACACACACCTGGTTACGCCTGGGCACATCTGGGGGGTTTGCAGACACGCCTGGGCACACCTGCAGGGTGGGGACACACCTGGGCACACCTGGGCACACCTGGGGGGTGGGGACACACCTGGGCCCTCACCTGTGCACACCTGTTCTCACCTGGCAGATCCACACCTGGGTGCAGGAGGGCCCCAGCGAGGCGCAGGCCGTGTGTGTGAACTGCCAGAACAACAGCGTGGGGGACAGGTGTGACACCTGCCGGGCGGGGTTCTTCCTGCTGGACGGCACCTGCACCAGGTGAGACACACACCTGGGACACACACCTGGGACACACACACACACCTGGGACAGGTGTGACACACACACACACCTGGGACAGGTGTGACACCTGCCGGGCGGGGTTCTTCCTGCTGGACGGCACCTGCACCAGGTGAGACACACACCTGGGACACACCTGGGACACACACACACACCTGGGACACACACACACCTGGGACAGGTGTGACACACCTGGGACACACACACACACCTGGGACAGGTGTGACACCTGCCGGGCGGGGTTCTTCCTGCTGGACGGCACCTGCACCAGGTGAGACACACACCTGGGACACCTGGGACAGGTGTGACACACACACACACCTGGGACACACACACACACCTGGGACAGGTGTGACACCTGCCGGGCGGGGTTCTTCCTGCTGGACGGCACCTGCACCAGGTGAGACACACACCTGGGACAGGTGTGACACCTGCCGGGCGGGGTTCTTCCTGCTGGACGGCACCTGCACCAGGTGAGACACACACCTGAGACACCTGGGACACACACACACACACCTGGGACAGGTGTGACACCTGCCGGGCGGGGTTCTTCCTGCTGGACGGCACCTGCACCAGGTGAGACACCTGAGACACCTGGGACAGGTGTGACACACACACAGGACAGGTGTGACACACACACACACCTGGGACAGGTGTGACACCTGAGACACTTGGCACAGGTGAGCCTGGCACCTGTATTGGAACCGTTACCTGTGCCAGGTGTGACACCTGTGTTACCTGTTCCAGGTGAGTTACCTGTGCCAGGTGAGACATTTGTGTTACCTGTCCCAGGTGAGTTACCTGTGCCAGGTGTGCCTGGTACCTGTATTGGGCCAGTTACCTGTGCCAGGTGTGCCAGGTGAGTTACTTGTGCCAGGTGAGACACCTGTGCCAGGGGTGACACCTGTGTTACCTGTCCCAGGTGAGTTACCTGTGCCAGGTGAACCTGGTACCTGTACTGGGTCAGTCACCTGTGCCAGGTGAGACACCTGTGTTACCTGTGCCAGGTGAGTTACCTGTGCCAGGGGTGACACCTGTGCCAGGTGAGTCGGGCACACCTGGGCACACCTGGGGATGAGAAAAGGGAGAAAAAAATGAGAAAAGTGAGGGGAAAAAAGGGAAAATTGGGGGGAAAATTGGGAAAAAATTGGGGAAATTTGGGAAAAATCAGGAAAAAGGGGAATTGCCTGTGCCAGGTGAGTTGGGCACACCTGGGCACACCTGGGGGTGAGAAAAGTAAGAAAAATGTGAGAAAAATGAGGGGAAAAAAGGTAAAATTGGCGGAAAAAATGGGAATAATTAGGAAAATTGGGGAAAAATGGTAAAATTTTGGGGAAATTTGGGAAAATTTGGGAAAATTCGGGAAAAAAGAGGAATTACCTGTGCCAGGTGAGTCGGGTACACCTGGGCACACCTGGGGATGAGAAAAGGGTGGAAAAATGAGAAAAATGAGGGAAAAAAAGGTAAAAATTGAGGGAAAAATTGTGGAAAAAAATGGGAAAAATTTGGGAAAAATTGGAGAAATTTCGAAAAAATTGGGGAAATTTGGGAAAATTTGGGAAAATGGGGAGTTGCCTTTGCCAGGTGAGTTGGGCACACCTGGGCACACCTGGGCACACCTGGGGATGAAAATAAAAGAGAAAAAATGAGGGAAAAAAGTGAAAAATGGGGGGGAAATGGGAAAAATTTGTGAAAAAAAATGGGGAAAAATTGGGAAATTTGGGAAAATTTTGGGAAAATTTGGGAAAAAGGGAATTACCTGTCTCAGGTGAGTCGGGCACACCTGGGGATGAGAAAAAGGAAAAAAATGTGAGAAAATATAGGGAAAAAAAGAAATTTGTGGGAAAAATTGTGGAAAAAAATGGGAAAAATTTGGGAAAAATTGGAGAAATTTCGAAAAAATTGGGGAAATTTGGGAAAATTTGGGAAAATGGGGAGTTGCCTGTGCCAGGTGAGTCGGGCACACCTGGGCACACCTGGGGATGAAAATAAAAGAGAAAAAATGAGGGGAAAAAAGTGAAAAATAGGGGAAAATTGGGAAAAATTTGTGGAAAAAAACGTGAAAAAAAAGGGGAAAATTCGGGGAAATTTGGGAAATTTGGGAAAAAGGGAATTATCTGTCTCAGGTGAGTCGGGCACACCTGGGGATGAGAAAAAAAGAGAAAAAATGAGGGAAAAAAGTGAAAAATGGGGGGAAAAATGGGAAAATTTGGTGGAAAAAAAATGGGAAAAATTTGGGAAAATTTGGGAAAATTTTGGGGAAAATTTGGGGAAATTTGGGAAAATTCGGGAAAAAAGAGGAATTGCCTGTGCCAGGTGAGTCGGGCACACCTGGGCACACCTGGGGGTGAGAAAAAGGAAAAAAATGTAAGAAAAATGAGATATAAAAAGGGAAATTTGGGGGAAAAATTGTGTAAAAAAATGGGAAAAATTTGGGGAAATTTGGGAAAATTTGGGAAAATCGGAAAAAAGGGGAATTATCTGTCTCAGGTGAGTCGGGCACACCTGGGCACACCTGGGGATGAGAAAAGGGAGGAAAAAATGAGAAAAATTAGGGAAAAAAAGCGAAATTTGGGGGAAAAATTGCGGAAAAATTTGGGGAAAATTTTGGGAAATTTGGGAAAATTTTGGGGAAATTTGGGAAAAAGGGAATTACCTGTCTCAGGTGAGTCGGGCTCACCTGGGGATGAGAAAAAGGAAAAAAATGTAAGAAAAATGAGATTAAAAAAGGGAAATTTGGGGGAAAAATTGTGTAAAAAAACGGAAAAAAATTAGGGAAATTTGGGAAATTTTGGGAAAATTTTGGGGAAATTTGGGAAAATTCGGGAAAATTCGGGAAAAAAGAGGAATTGCCTGTGCCAGGTGAGTCGGGCACACCTGGGGATGAGAAAAGAGAGAAATAAATGAGAAAAATTAGGGAAAAAAAGCGAAATTTGGGGGAAAAATTGCGGAAAAAAATGGGGAAATTTGGGAAATTTGGGGAAATTTGGGAAAAAACGGAATGACCTGTCTGAGGGGGTCACCTGCCCGCAGGTGCCAGTGCAACGGGCACGCCGACACCTGCAACGAGCTGGACGGCACCGGCTGCCCCTGCCAGAACAACACCGAGAGCGGCGCCTGCCCCGAGCGGCGCGACTGCCACCGCCACCAGGTGGGCACACCTGGGGCACAGCTGGGGGCACCTGGGGGTACCTGGGCACACCTGGACACACCTGGGGGCACCTGGGGGTGGGAAAATGGGGGAAAATGCAAAAATTTGGGGGAAAATTGGGGGAAAATGGGGATTTGGGGCACACCTGGGGGCACCTGGCCACACCTGGGCAGAGCTGGGGGCACCTGGGCACACCTGGAGGCACCTGGGCACACCTGAGGGTACCTGGGCACAGTTATAGCACACCTGGGCACTCACCTGGGCACACCTGGGGGCACCTGGGCACACACCTGGGGCACAGCTGGGGGTACCTGGCACACCTGGGCACACCTGGGATACACCTGGGCACATCTGGGGACACCTGGGCACATACCTGGGCACAGCTGGGGACACCTGGGGGCACCTGGGCACTCACCTGGGCACAGCTGGGCACACACCTGGGGGCACCTGGGCACAGCTGGGGGCACCTGGGCACATACCTAGGGGCAGCTGGGGGCACCTGGGAACATCTGGGGGCACCTGGGCACACCTGGGCACAGTTATGGCACACCTGGGGGCACCTGGGCACGGCTGGGGCACCTGGGCACTCACCTGGGCACACACCTGGGACACACCTGGGCACTCACCTGGCACACCTGGGGGCACCTGGGTGGTGTTTGGGGCACACCTGGGCACAGCTGGGCACAGTTATGGCACACCTGGGCACAGCTGGGCACACACCTGGGCACACACCTGGGGGCAGCTGGGAACAGTTATAGCACACCTGGGGGCACCTGGGCACTCACCTGGGCACACCTGGGGGCACCTGGGCACAGCTGGGATACACCTGGGGGCACCTGGAGGCACCTGGGCACAGCTGGGGGCACCTGGGGGAACCTGGGCACACCTGGGGCCACCTGGGCACACCTGGGGCCACCTGGGCACATACCTAGGGGCAGCTGGGGGCACCTGGGAACATCTGGGGGCACCTGGGCACACCTGGGCACAGTTATGGCACACCTGGGGGCACCTGGGGGCACACCTGGGCACTGCCAAACACACACCTGGGCACAGTTATAGCACACCTGGGGGCACCTGGGCACAGCTGGGCACACCTGGGCACACACCTGGGGGCACCTGGGCACAGTTATAGCACACCTGGGCACACCTGGGACACACCTGGGCACACCTGGGCACAGCTGGGGGCAGCTGGGGGTGGGGAAATGGGGAAAAATGCAAAAATTTGGGAGAAAATCGGGAAAATCAGTGCTCCAAGTGCCAGAACTTCTCCAGGGGGTTCTGGTGGGGACGTGGGGATGGAACCCACCACGTTCCTCGGGGTTCTGGCGCTCTGAGCTCCCCACCAATGACCTCAATGACCTCCAGGAGCGTGACCACACCACCTTTGGTGTCCCACAGTGCTCCAAGTGCCAGAACCTTCTCCAGGGAGTTCTGGTGGGGACGTGGGGATGGAACCCACCAGGTTCCTCGGGGTTCTGGTGCCACCAGGGTGCTCTGAGCTTCACCCCAATGACTTCCATGACCTCAGTGACCCTGATGGTGCCATCGTTGGTGTCCCCACAGTGCTCGAAGTGCCAGAACCTTCTCCAGGGGGTTCTGGTGGGGACGTGGGGATGGAACCCACCACGTTCCTCAGGGTTCTGGTGCCTCCAGGGTGCTCTGAGCTCCACCCCAATGACCTCCATGACCTCCACGAGTGTGACCACGACACTTTGGGTGTCCCCACAGTGCTCCAAGTGCCAGAACCTTCTGCAGGGGGTTCTGGTGGGTACATGAGGATGGAACCCACCACGTTCCTCAGGGTTCTGGTGCTCTGAGCTTCACCCCAATGACCTCCATGACCCTGACAGTGACATTGTTGGTGTCCCCACAGTGCTCCAAGTGCCAGAAACATCTCCAGGGGGTTCTGGTGGGGATGTAGGGATGGAACCCACCAGGTTCCTCAAGGTTCTAGCTCCACCAGAACCTCTTTCCTTCCAACTTAAATGACCTCCATGACCTCCATGACCCTGACGGTGCCATTGTTGATGTCCCCCCAGTGCTCCAAGTGCCGGGACTCCTTCCAGGGCTTTGTGGTGGGGACGTGGGGATGGAACCCACCAGGTTCCTCAAGGTTCTAGCTCCACCAGAACCTCTTTCCTTCCAACTTCAATGACTTCCATGACCTCCATGACCCTGACGGTGCCACTTTGGGTGTCCCCAAACCAAAAATCCATTTTAGAACCTTCTCCAGGGCTTTGTGGTGAGGACGTGGGGATGGAACCCACCAGGTTCCTCGGGGTTCTGGTGCCACCAGGGGCTCTGAGCTCCACCCCAATGACCTCGATGACCTCAGTGACCCTGATGGTGACATTGTCGGTGTCCCCAGACCCAAAATCCATTCTAGAACCTTCTCCAGGGGGTTCTGGTGGGGACGTGGGGATGGAACCCACCAGGTTCCTCGGGGTTCTGGTGCCACCAGCATGGCTTGACCTCCCCACCAATGACCTCGATGACCTCCATGACCCTGACCACGCCACTTTCGATGTCCCCACAGTGCTCCAAGTGCCAGAACCTTCTCCGGGGGGTTCTGGTGGGTACGTGGGGATGGAACCCACCACGTTCCTTGAGGTTCTGGTGCTCTGAGCTCCACCCCAATGACCTCCATGACCCTGACAGTGACATTGTTGATGTCCCCACTGTGCTCCAAGTGCCAGAAACTTCTCCAGGGGGTTCTGGTGAGGACGTGGGGATGGAACCCACCAGGTTCCTCGGGGTTCTGGTGCTCTGAGCTCCACAGCAGTGACCTCCACGAGTGTGACCACACCACTTTTGGTGTCCCCCCAGTGCTCCAAGTGCCGTGACTCCTTCCAGGGCCACCCGGTGGGTGGCCAGCAGTGCTACCGGCTGCTGGCGGTGGAGCAGGAGTACTGCCTGGACGCGGCGTCGCAGAGCCACTGCTTCCCGCCGCCGCAGCGCCGCCCGCTGCCGCCCGGCCGCTCCGTGCCCTTCGCCGTGCAGCCCAAGTTCACCAACGTGGACATCCGCCTCACCCTGGACGTCACCTTCGGCGTGGTGGACCTCTACGTGGCCACCTCCTACGACACCTTCGCCGTGGACATGGAGCCGGACACCGGATGGCACCGGGTCCGCGTGCAGGCGCCCGGCGGGGGCGGTGGCACCTTTGGGGGTGGTGGTGGCACCTTTGGGACCTTGGGGGGACAAGGAGGTGGTGGTGGCACCTTTGGAGGTGGTGGTGGCACCTTTGGGACCTTGGGGGGACAAGGTGGACAAGGGGGTGGTGGGGGTGGTGGTGGTGGTGGCACCTTCGGGGGCGGTGGTGGCACCTTTGGGGGACAAGGGAGTGGTGGTGGCACCTTTGGAGGTGGTGGTGGCACCTTTGGGACCTTGGGGGGACAAGGAGGTGGTGGTGGTGGTGGCGGTGGTGGTGGCACCTTTGGGGGACAAGGGGGTGGTGGTGGCACCTTTGGAGGTGGTGGTGGCACCTTTGGGACTTCCGGAACTGGTGGTGGCACCTTTGGGGGACAAGGGGGACAAGGGGTTGGTGGTGGGGCTGGTGGCACTGGTGGTGGCACCTTTGGGACCTTGGGGGGACAAGGAGGACAAGGGGGACAAGGGGGTGGTGGTGGGGCTGGTGGCACTGGTGGTGGCACCTTTGGGACCTTGGGGGGACAAGGAGGACAAGGGGGACAAGGGGGTGGTGGTGGCACCTTTGGGACTGGTGGTGGCACCTTTGGGACTTCCGGAACTGGTGGTGGCACCTTTGGGACCTTCGGGGGACAAGGGGGTGGTGGGGGTGGTGGTGGCACCTTTGGGACCTTTGGTGGCCCTGGTGACACCTTTGGGACATCTTGGACTGGAGATGGTGGTGGTGGCACCTTTGGGACCTTCGGTGGCCCTGGTGGCCCTGTGGCCGGTGGGGTTGGTCCCACTGGTCCAACCGGTTTTACCGGTGACCCCCAAAGTTCTGGTGGCCCCAGAGCCCATTTTGGTGGCCAAACTGGTCATACTGGCCAAACTGGTTTTGCTGACCAACCCACTGACCCCAGACCCCATTTTGGTGGCCCCAGAGAAGATTTTGGTGGCCAAACCAGTTTTAATGACCAATCTGATGACCCCCGACCCCATTCTGATGACCCCAGACCCCATTTCGGTGTCCCCCAACCCCATTTTGGTGGCCAAACTGGTTTTAATGGTCAATCCGATGACCCCAGACCCCATTTTGGTGGCCCCAGAGAAGATTTCGGTGGCCAAACCAGTTTTAATGGTCAATCTGATGACCCCAGAGCCAATTTTGGTGTCCCCCAACCCCATTTTGGTGTCCCCCAACCCCATTTTGGTGTCCCCCAACCCCATTTTGGTGTCCCCCAACCCCATTTTGGTGTCCCCCAACCCCATTTTGGTGGCCCCCAACCCCATTTTGGTGACCCCGGAGCCAATTTTGGTGGCCAAACTGGTCATACTGGTTTTAATGGTCAATCTGATGACCCCAGACCCAATTTCGGTGGCCAAACTGGTTTTGGTGACCAATCTGATGACCCCAGATCCTTTGGTGGCCAAACTGGTCATACTGGCCAAACTGGTTTTAATGGTCAATCCAATGACCCCAAACCCCATTTTGGTGGTCCCCAACCCAATTTTGGTGGCCCCCAACCCCATTTTGGTGGCCCCAGAGAAGAGTTTGGTGGCCAAACCAGTTTTAATGACCAATCTGATGACCCCAAACCCCATTTTGATGACCCCCAACCCCATTTTGGTGGCCAAACTGGTTTTTATGGCCAATCTGATGACCCCAGACCCAATTTCGGTGGCCCCAAACCCCATTTTGATGACCCCCAACCCCATTTTGGTGGCCAAACTGGTTTTAATGACCAATCTGATGACCCCAGACCCCATTTTGGTGGCCCCAAACCCCATTTCGGTGTCCCCCAACCCCATTTCGGTGGCCAAACTGGTTTTGGTGACCAATCCGATGACCTCAAACCCCGTTTTGGTGGCCCCAGAGAAGATTTTGGTGGCCAAACTGGTTTTTATGGCCAATCTGATGACCCCAGACCCAATTTTGGTGGCCAAACTGGTTTTGATGGCCAATCTGATGACCCCAGACCCCATTTTGGTGGCCCCCAACTCCACTTTGGTGGCCAAACTGGTTTTAATGACCAATCCAATGACCCCAGACCCAATTTTGGTGGCCCCCAACCCCATTTTGATGGTCCCCAACCCCATTTTGATGGTCCTGAACCCCCTTTTGGTGTCCCCCAACCCCATTTCGGTGGCCGAACTGGTTTTAATGACCAATCTGATGACCCCAGAGCCAATTTTGGTGGCCCCCAACCCCATTTTGGTGGCCCCCAACCCCATTTGGGTGGCCCCAAACCCCACTTTGATGACCAAACCGGTTTTCCCGACCACCCCACCGCCCCCATCCCCAATTTGGGTGGCCCCCAGCCCCATTTTGGTGGCCCCAGACCCAATTTTGGTGTCCCCCAACCCCATTTTGGTGGCCCCCAACCCCATTTTGGTGGCCCCAAACCCCATTTTGGTGGCCCCCAACCCCACTTTGGTGCCCAAACCAGTTTTGCCGACCAATCTGATGACCCCAGACCCAATTTTGGTGGCCCCAAACCCCATTTTGGTGGCCAAACTGATGACCCCAGATCCTTTGGTGGCCAAACCAGTTTTGCCGACCAATCTGATGGCCCCAGACCCAATTTTGGTGGCCAAACTGGTTTTAATGGCCAATCTGATGACCCCAGACCCCATTTTGGTGTCCCCCAACCCCATTTTGGTGGCCCCCAACCCCACTTTGATGACCAAACCGGTTTTAATGGTCAATCCAATGACCCCCAACCCCATTTTGGTGGCCCCAGACCCCATTTTGGTGGTCCCCAAGCCCATTTTGGTGGCCAAACTGGTTTTCCCAACCACCCCACCGCCCCCATCCCCTCCAGAAGCCCCCACCCCACCACCCCACCACCCCCCACCACCCCACCCTCACCCCCCACGCCCCCCGTGGTGGCACCGGCTCTGCTGGAGGAACGCGCCCACGGCCTGGTCACCTACCTGACGGTGGCCCGGCCCGTGCCCGCCCTGGTGGTCCGCGGGGTGCGGGACCGGCTGGTGCTGACCTACCCCCACGCCGGCCACGCGCTGAAGTCCACCAGGTTCTACCTGCTGGTGGTGGCCGGCGCCGAGCCCTGCCAGGGGCTGCTCTTCTTCCGCCAGGACCAGGCGCACATCGACCTCTTCATCTTCTTCTCGGTCTTCTTCTCCTGCTTCTTCCTGTTCCTGGCGCTCTGCGTGCTGCTCTGGAAGGCCAAGCAGGGCCTGGACGCGCGCCACGAGCGCCGGCGCCACCGGCAGGAGATGTCCAAGATGGCGGCGCGGCCCTTCGCGCGTGTCACCGTCTGCTTTCAGTACCTTGGTTACCGGAGCTGGTCTGTGGGCCACCAGCAGAACCACCTCATGGGTCACCAAAACCGCTCTGTGGGCCACCAGAACCATCCTGTGGGTCATCAGAACCTCCCTGTGGGTCACCAGAGCTCCATGGGCCACCAAAACCAAGCCATGGGCCACCAAAACCATCCCATGGACCACCAGAGCCAACCCATGGGTCATCAGAACCACCTCATGGGACACCAGGACCACCTTATGGGACACCAGGACCATCCTGTGGGACACCAGGACCACCTCATGGGACACCAGGACCACCCCGTGGGTCATCAGAACCATCTTGTGGGTCATCAGAACCAACCTGTGGGTCATCAGAACCTCCCCATGGGTCATCAGAACCACCTCATGGGTCACCAGAGCCAACCCGTGGGCCACCAGAACCACCCCGTGGGTCATCAGAACCAACCCATGGGTCATCAGAACCTCCCCAGGGGTCACCAGAACCATCCTGTGGGCCACCAGAACCACCTCATGGGACAACAGAGCCAACTTGTGGGCCACCAGGACCAACCCATGGGTCACCAGAACCACCCCGTGGGCCACCAGAGCCAACCCATGAGTCATCAGAACCACCTCATGGGACACCAGGACCATCCTGTGGGCTACCAAAGTTGCTCCGTGGGCCACCAGAACCAACCCATGGGTCATCAGAACCTCCCCATGGGTCATCAGAACCAACCCATGGGTCACCAGAGCTGCTCCGTGGGTCACCAGAACCTCCCCGTGGGCTACCAAAACCAACCCATGGGTCATCAGAACCACCCTGTGGGTCACCAGGACCACCCCGTGGGTCATCAGAACCACCCCGTGGGTCACCAGGACCAACCTGTGGGTCACCAGAACCAACCCATGGGACACCAGAGCTGCTCCGTGGGTCATCAGAACCACCCCGTGGGTCACCAAAATCCACCTTTGAACCCCCAAAATCCTCACCTGGGCCACCAAAATCCTCCCTCGGGTGGCCCAAATTCCCAACCCCCACCTTGGAACGCCCAAAATCCTCTCCGGGACCCCCAAATTTCACCTTTGGACCCCCAAAATTCCCACCTGGGTCACCAAAATTCACCTTCGGATCCCCAAACTTCACCTTTAGACCCCCAAAATCTCCGTTTTGGCCACCAAAATCGACCTTTGGACCCCCAAAATCCACCTTTAGACCCCCAAAATCTCCGTTTTGGCTCCCAAAATCCCCGATTTGGCCACCAAAATCCACCTTTGAACCCCCAAACTTCACCTTTGGACCCCCAAAATCCACCTTTGGACCCCCAAAATCCACCTTTGAACCCCCAAACTCCCCCTGGGGACCCCCCAAACCCCCGTTTTGGCCACCGAACTTCACCTTCAGACCCCCAAAATCCACCTCTGAACCCCCAAAATTCCCCTCTGGACCCCCAAAATCCCCCTGGGGACCCCCCAAATCCACCTCTGAACCCCCAAACTTCACCTTTAGACCCCCAAAATCTCCGTTTTGCCCCCTCAAATCCACCTTTAGACCCCCAAACTTCACCTTTAGACCCCCAAAATCTCCGTTTTGCCCCCCCAAATCCACCTCTGAACCCCCAAACTTCCCCTTTAGACCCCCAAAATCCACTTTTGGACCCCCAAAATCCCCCTTTTGCCCCCCCAAATCCCCGTTTTGCCCCCCCAAATCCACCTTTAGACCCCCAAAATCCGCCTCCGAACCCCCAAAATCCCCGTTTCGCCCCCCCAAATCCACCTCTGAACCCCCAAAATTCCCCTCTGGACCCTCAAAATCCCCCTGGGGACCCCCCAAATCTCCGTTTTGGCCACCAGACTTCACCTCTGAACCCCCAAACTTCACCTTTAGACCCCCCAAATCCCCGTTTTGCCCCCCCAAATCCCCCTCGGGACCCCCACCCCACCCACCGCAAGGCGCCCCAATCACTACCAGGACCCCCCAAACCACCACCGGGACCCCCCAAACCACCACCGGGCCCCCCCAAACCACCACCAGGACCCCCCAAACCCCCTCGGGGTGCCCCGGGCGGGGGTCCCGGGGCGGCCCCGGTGACCCTGGAGCCCACCGAGGACGGGCTGGCGGCGGTGGCCACGCTGCTGCTGCAGCTGCCCGGGGGTCCCGGGGGTCCCCCCCGAGCCGCGCTGGGCTCGGCGCTGGTGGTCCTCAGGGGGGCGGGGCCTGTGCAGGAAAGGGGCGGGGCTTCCAGGAAAGGGGCGGGGCCCGCGGGGCTCGAGCTCACCGCAATGGGCAGCTGAAAAGTCACAATTTTGGGCAATTTTGGGGGATTTTATTTCGATTTTTTTGGGATTTTTGGACTTTTTTTCCAGGATTTTTTGGGGATTTTTCAGGGATTTTTAAAATTGGTTTTCCCGCTTTTTAAAGGGTTTTTTTTCCGTATTTTTTCGGATTTTATTTGGATTTTTTTGGCCTTTTTTTCCTTTTTTTTTTTCTTTTTTTCCCGATTATTTTACTATTTTTTATTATTATTTTTGGGGAAATTTTTTTAGGGATTTTTTTGATTTTTTTTTTCTGTATTTTTTGGGAATTTTTTTCGGGATTTTGGAGGGATTTTTTTGCCTTTTTTTCCCTGAATTTTTCGTGGATTTTTTGGGAGTATTTTTAGGATTTTTTTTGCCTTTTTTTTTTATTTTTATGGGATTTTTTGGGATTTTTTAGGATTTTTTTCTTTATTTTTTGGGGACTTTTTGGGAGTTTTTTGGGACATTTTTCGGGATTTTGGGGGATTATTTAGGGAATTTATATCAGGATATTTTTAGGATCCCCCCTGGATTTTATTTGGATTTTTTTCGGTTTTTCCGGGGGATTTTAGAGAGATTCGGGTTCGGTTTTGGGGGGAAAATCCCGAATTTCGGGCTCGGCGCTGGTGGTGCTCAGGGGGGCGGGGCCGGGGGCGGGGCCTGGGACAGAAAGGGGCGGGGCTTCGAGAAAAGGGGCGGGGCCCGCGGGGCTGGAGCTCACCGCCATGGGCAGCTGAAAATCAATTTTTGGGGATTTTTTTAGATTTTTTGGGGTTTTATTTCGATTTTTTGACATTTTTTTTCTTGGATTTATTGGGATTTTTAGGGGATTTTTGAAATTGGGTTTTCCCGGTTTTTAAAGGGTTTTTTTTCTGTATTTTTTCGGATTTTATTTGGATTTTTTGGCCTTCTTTCCTGGTTTGTTTTTTTTTTTTTTTTGGCCGATTTTTCTATTATTTTTTTATTATTATTTTTAGGGAATTTTTTTTAGGGATTTTTTTTTTTGTGTGTATTTTTTGGGATTTTTTTTCGGGATTTTTTCTGGATTTTGGGGGGATTTTTTTACTTTTTTTTCCTGAATTTTTCATGGATTTTTTGGGAGTATTTTTTGGAATTTTTTTGCCTTTTTTTTTTTTTAATGGGATTTTTTTGGATTTTTTAGGATTTTTTTCTTTATTTTTTGGGGACTTTTTGGGAGTTTTTTGGGGACTATTTGGAGAATTTATTCCGGGTTTTTTTCTGATTCTTTATTAATTTTTTGGGGCTTTTTTTGGGTTCTATTTTAATTTTGGGTGGATTTAAAAGGGAATTTTTGGGGGATTTTTTGGGAATTTTTTTTCTGTATTTTTTGAGAATTTTTCCTGGGTTTTTTTTGAGGATTTTTTTTTTCTATATTTTTTGAGATTTTTTTTTCGTATTTTTGGGAATCTTTTACAATTTTTGGGGATTTTTTTTAGGGGTTTTAAAATTTTTTTTTCTGAATTTTTTAAGGGGCTTTTTAGGAATTTTTGTTCTGTATTTTGGGGGGTTTTCTTTAGGATTTTTTCTGGATTTGGGGGGGATTTTTAGGGTGTTTTTTTCTGGATTTTTGGGGGAATTTTAAAATTATTTTCTTGTATTTTGGGGGAGATTTTTTAAAATTTATTTTTTAGGATTTTTTTCTGGATTTTGGGGGAATTTTTTCTGGATTTTTGGGGGGAATTTTGGGGAAATTTTCCTGATTTTTGGGGGAGATTTTGGGGAAATTTTTCTGGATTTTTTTTTGGATTTTTGACTTTTTTTTTCCTTCGATTTTTTGGGGATTTGGGGAATTTTCAGAAGAATTTTGGGGAAATTTTGGGAGAATTTTGGGGAATTTTTGGGGTGAATTTTGGGAGATTTTTGGGGAAATTTCGGAAGAATTTTGGGGAAATTTTAAGGGAATTTCGGCGCCAAAACCTCCCACCACTCAATGAACGCATTAATTAATTCATTCATTAATTAAATCTTTATTAATTAATCGCGGGTCCTTCCCCTCCCCCCCCCAATAAATGCTGCTGCCCCTCCCCCCCGCGTGGCTTCATTGGGGCTTAATTAGCGCCGTTAATTAGGGGAGAGGGGTTAATTAGTGCCATTAATTAGGGGAGAGGGGTTAATTAGGGGGGTTAATTAGGGGAGGGGGGTGTTAATTAAGGGGTTTAATTGAGGGAGGGGGTTAATTAGGGGGGTTAATTAGGGGAGGGGGTCTTAATTAAGGGGTTTAATTGAGGGAGGGGGTTAATTAGGGGGGTTAATTAGAGGAGGGGTCTTAATTAAGGGGTTTAATTGAGGGAGGGGGTTAATTAGGGGAGGGGGGTTAATTAGAGCCGCTAATTAGCTTAATTAGGGGCGGGGCTTCACGACCCCACCCCGCTGGGGCGGCGCGGGGGGGGAGGGGAGCGGGGGGGGGAGGGGCCCCCCAAATTTGGGGGTCGGGGGGCCCCAAAATCCCCCAAATTTCGGTTTTGGGACCCCCCAAAATCCCCCAAATTTTGGGGTCTGGGGGTCCCCGAATTTGGAGTCTCAGACCCCCCAAAATCCCCCAAATTTTGGGGTCTGGGGGTCCCCAAATTTCGGTTTTGGGACCCCCCAAAATCCCCCAAATTTTGGGGTCTGGGGGTCCCCAAATTTGGGCTTTGGGACCCCCCAAAATCCCCCAAATTTCGGCTCTGGGACTCCCCAAAATCCCCCAAATTTTGGGGTCTGGGGGTCCCCAAATTTGGGCTTTGGGACCCCCCAAAATCCCCCAAATTTTCCCTCTGGGACCCCCCAAAATCCCCCAAATTTTGGGGTCTGGGGGTCCCCAAATTTTCCTTTTCTGGGACCCCCAAATTTTCCCTCTTGGGGACCCCAGACCCCAAATTGGAGCCCCCAGACCCCAAATTTGAACCCCCAGACCCCAAATTGGAGCCCCCAGACCCCAAATTTGAACCCCCAGACCCCAAATTGGAGCCCCCAGACCCCAAATTTTCCCTCCTGGACCCCCCAAAACCCCCCAAATTTTCCCTCCTGGAGACCCCAGACCCCAAATTTGCCAAACTCTCCCTCCTGGAGACCCCCAAAACCCCCAAATTGGAGCCCCCAGACCCCAAATTTGAACCCCCAGACCCCAAATTTTCCCTCCTGGAGACCCCAGACCCCAAATTTGCCAAACTTTCCCTCCTGGAACTCCCCAAAATTCCCAAATTGGAGCCCCCAGACCCAAAATTGGAGCCCCCAGACCCAAAATTTGCCAAACTTTCCCTCCTGGAGACCCCTGGGACCCCCAAATTGGAGCCCCCAGACCCAAAATTCGCCAAACTTTCCCTCCTGGAGACCCCCAAAACGGAGCCCCCAGACCCAAAATTCACCAAACTCTCCCTCCTGGACCCCCCAAATCCCCCCAAATTTTCCCTTCTGGAGACCCCAGACCCCAAATTTGCCAAACTCTCCCTCCTGGACCCCCCCGGGACCCCCAAATTCGTCCCCCCTAAAGCCAAACTCTCCCTCCTGAAGCCCCCAGCCCCAAAATTCACCAAACTCTCCCTCCTGGACCCCCCTGGGACCCCCAAAACCCCCAAATTTGAACCCCCAGACCCCAAATTCACCAAACTCTCTCTCCTGGAGACCCCAGACCCACTCAAACTTTCCCTCCTGGGCCCCCCAAACCCCCCCAAACTCTCCCTCCTGAAGCCCCCAGCCCCAAAATTCGCCAAACTTTCCCTCCTGGACCCCCCTGGGACCCCCAAAACCCCCAAATTTGAACCCCCAGCCCCAATATTCGCCAAACTCTCCCTCCTGGACCCCCCCGGGACCCCCAGATTCGTCCCCACTAAAGCCAAACTCTCCCTCCTGAAGCCCCCAGACCCAAAATTGGAGCCCCCAGACCCCAAATTTGCCAAACTTTCCCTTCTGAACCCCCCTGGGACCCCCAGATTGGAGCCCCCAACCCCCAAACTCTCCCTCCTGGACCCCCCCGGGACCCCCAAATTCACCAAACTCTCCCTCCTGAAGCCCCCAGCCCCAAAATTCCCCAAACTCTCCCTCCTGGACCCCCCAAAATTTGCCAAACTCTCCCTCCTGGACCCCCCGGGGACCCCCAAATTCATCCCCCCCACCCCCAAACTCTCCCTGCGGGACCCCCCGAGCCCCCCGCAGACGAGGCCGGGCAGAATTTGGGGAGGGGGCTCCAGGACCTGGCGCAGGATTTGGGAGCAGAGACCCCCGGCCCGGCGGCACTCGGGGCTCAGGGGGGCGAGGCTGAGGAACCCGTGCGGGACCCCCGGGACCACCCGAAGGGTCACGGGCCGGCCCAGGGCTCGTAAACGCCGGGCCAGGGCCACCGAATCGTCCAGCATCGGGTCCAGGGCGCAGGCCTGGAAAAAAGGGGGTTTTGGGGTGAATTTCGGGGATTTTGGGCAATTTTCAGTAATTTTTGGCAATTTTTGGGGGGTTTAAATGGGATTTTGGGGTATTTTTTGGAGGTTTTGGGGGGAAAAAAGGGGGATTTGGGGGAGATTTGGGGTCCTTGGAGTTGATTTTGGGGGGATTTGAGGGATTTTGGGGTGAATTTGGGGGATTTTGGGCAATTTTCGGTAATTTTTACATGTTTTAAAGGGGAGTTTTGGGGGTTTTAAAGGGGATTTTGGGAGATTTGGGGTAGGTAGAATCCATTTTTGGGGGGTTTTAGAGAGCGGAGTCGGTTTTGGGGTGAATTTGGGGGATTTTGGGCAATTTTGGGTAATTTTTGAGGGAATTTTTGGGGGCACAGACCCCCGGCCCGGCGGCACTCGGGGCTCAGGGGGGCGAGGCTGAGGAACCCGTGCGGGACCCCCGGGACCACCCGAAGGGTCACGGGCCGGCCCAGGGCTCGTAAACGCCGGGCCAGGGCCACCGAATCGTCCAGCATCGGGTCCAGGGCGCAGGCCTGGGAAAAAGGGGGTTTTGGGGTGAATTTCGGGGATTTTGGGCAATTTTGGGGGATTTTTTGGGCGATTTTTAGGGGTTTTTAGGTGGTTTAAATGGGTATTTTGGGGGTTTTAAAGAGGATTTTGGGGGGTTTTGGGGGCCCTTGGAGTTGATTTTGGGGGGATTTGGGGGATTTTGGGGTGAATTTCGGGGATTTTGGGCAATTTTGGGGGGTTTTAGGGCGATTTTTGGTAATTTTTATGTGTTTTAAAGGGGGATTTTGGGGGTTTTAAAGGGGGATTTTGGGGGGTTTTTGGGGATTTTGGGGGAGATTTGGCGTCCTTGGAGTTGATTTTGGGAAGATTTGGGGGATTTTGGGGTGAATTTGGGGGATTTTGGGCAATTTTGGGGGATTTTTTGGTAATTTTTATGTGTTTTAAATGGGATTTTTGGGGGGTTTTAAAGGGGATTTTGGGGGTTTTAAAGGGGATTTTGGGAGATTTGGGGTAGGTAGAATCGATTTTTGGGGGGTTTGGGGGAGCGGAGTCGGTTTTGGGGTGAAATTCGGGGATTTTGGGCAATTTTGGGCGATTTTTACGTGTTTTAAAGGGGAATTTTGGGCATTTTGGGGGGGATTTTTGGAGGTTTAAAGGGGATTTTGGGGGTTTTGGGAGTCCTTGGAGTTGATTTTGGGGGGTTCTAGGGAGTGGAGTTGGTTTTGGGGTGAATTTGGGGGATTTTGGGCAATTTTAGGGTGAATTTCGGGGATTTTGGGGCAATTTTGGGGGATTTCTGGGTAATTTTTAAGGGGTTTTAGGGAGGATTTTTGGAGGTTTTGGGGGAGATTTTAAGGGAGTTTGGGTGGGATTTGGGGTGAATTTAGGAGATTTTGGGGTGAATTTGGGGGATTTTGGGCAATTTTGGGTAATTTTTTGGGGGATTTTGGGGGCATTTTAGGTGTTTTAAAGGGGGATTTTGGGCAATTCTGGGGGGCTTTAGGGGGGATTTTTGGAGGTTTGGTGGGGTTTAAATGGGATTTTAGGGTGAATTTGGGGAATTTTGGGGTGAATTTGGGGGATTTTGGGCAATTTTGGGGGATTTTTTGGTAATTTTTATGTGTTTTAAATGGGATTTTTGGGGGGTTTTAAAGGGGATTTTGGGGGTTTTAAAGGGGATTTTGGGGGGTCTTGGGGTCATTAGAATTGATTTTTGGGGAGTTTGAGGGACTGGAGTCGGTTTTGGGGTGAATTTGGGGGATTTTGGGCAATTTTCAGTAATTTTTTAGGGGATTTGGGGGGGTTTAAATGGGATTTTTGGGGGTTTTAAAGGGGATTTTGGGGGAATGTTGAGGGGATTTTGGGGGAGATTTTGGGTCATTAGAATCGATTTTTGGGGGCTTTGGGGAAGTGGAATCGGTTTTGGGGTGAATTTGGGGGATTTTGGGGTGAATTTGGGGGATTTTGGGCAATTTTGGGGGGATTTTAGGTGTTTTAAAGGGGGATTTTTTTGGGGTTTTAAAGGGGATTTTGGGGGTTTTAAAGGGGATTTTGGGAGATTTGGGTTGGTAGAATCCATTTTTGGGGGGTTTTAGAGAGTGGAGTCGGTTTTGGGGTGAATTTGGGGGATTTTGGGCAATTTTGGGTAATTTTTTAGGGAATTTTTGGGGACACAGACCCCCGGCCCGGCGGCACTCGGGGCTCAGGGGGGCGAGGCTGAGGAACCCGTGCGGGACCCCCGGGACCACCCGAAGGGTCACGGGCCGGCCCAGGGCTCGTAAACGCCGGGCCAGGGCCACCGAATCGTCCAGCATCGGGTCCAGGGCGCAGGCCTGGGAAAAAGGGGGTTTTGGGGTGAATTTCGGGGATTTTGGGCAATTTTGGGCGATTTTTGGGGAATTTTTGGGGAGTTTTAGGGGGGGGTTTGGTGTTTTAAATGGGATTTTTGGGGGTTTTAATGGGGATTTTGGGGGGTTTTGGGGTCCTTGGAGTTGATTTTGGGAAGATTTGGGGGATTTTGGGGTGAATTTGGGGGATTTTGGGCAATTTTGGTAAAATTTCGGTAATTTTTGGTAATTTTTATGTGTTTTAAATGGGATTTTTGGGGGGATTTTTGGAGATTTTGGGGGGAATGTTGAGGGGATTTTGGGGGAGATTTGGGGTCCTTGGAGTTGATTTTGGGGGGATTTGAGGGAGTGGAGTCGGTTTTGGGGTGAATTTTGGGGATTTTGGGCAATTTTGGGGGATTTTTTGGTAATTTTTATGTGTTTTAAATGGGATTTTTGGGGGGATTTTTGGAGGTTTTGGGGGGTTTGGGGGGAGATTTGGGGTAGGTAGAATCGATTTTTGGGGGGTTTGAGGGAGTGGAGTCGGTTTTGGGGTGAATTTGAGGGATTTTGGGCAATTTTGGGTAATTTTTTAGGGAATTTTTGGGGGCACAGACCCCCGGCCCGGCGGCACTCGGGGCTCAGGGGGGCGAGGCTGAGGAACCCGTGCGGGACCCCCGGGACCACCCGAAGGGTCACGGGCCGGCCCAGGGCTCGTAAACGCCGGGCCAGGGCCACCGAATCGTCCAGCATCGGGTCCAGGGCGCAGGCCTGGGAAAAAGGGGGTTTTGGGGTGAATTTCGGGGATTTTGGGCAATTTTGGGGGGTTTTTGGTAATTTTTATGTGTTTTAAACTGGATTTTCGGGGGATTTTCGGAGGTTTTGAGGGGGAAAAAAGGGGAATTTGGGAGTCCTTGGAGTTGATTTTGGGGGGTTTGGGGGAGTGGAATCGGTTTTGGGGTGAATTTCGGGGATTTTGGGCAAATTTGGGGGATTTTTAGGGGGATTTGGGGGGTATTTCTGGAGGTTTGGGGGGGATTTTAGGTGTTTTAAATGGGATTTTTGGGGGTTTTAATGGGGATTTTGGGGTCCTTGGAGTTGATTTTGGGGGAATTTGGGGGATTTTGGGGTGAATTTGGGGGATTTTGGGGTGAATTTGGGGGATTTTGGGCAATTTTGGGTAATTTTTTGGGGGATTTTGGGGGCATTTTAGGTGTTTTAAAGGGGGATTTTGGGCAATTCTGGGGGGTTTTAGGGGGGATTTTTGGAGGTTTGGTGGGGTTTGAATGGGATTTTGGGGTGAATTTGGGGGATTTTGGGGTGAATTTGGGGGATTTTGGGCAATTTTCGGTAATTTTTGGTAATTTTTATGTGTTTTAAATGGGATTTTTGGGGGGTTTTAAATGGGATTTTTGGGGAGTTTTAAAGGGGATTTTGGGGGTTTTAAAGGGGATTTTGGGAGATTTGGGGTAGGTAGAATCGATTTTTTGGGGGGTTTAGAGAGCGGAGTCGGTTTTGGGGTGAATTTGGGGGATTTTGGGCAATTTTGGGTAATTTTTTAGGGAATTTTTGGGGGCACAGACCCCCGGCCCGGCGGCACTCGGGGCTCAGGGGGGCGAGGCTGAGGAACCCGTGCGGGACCCCCGGGACCACCCGAAGGGTCACGGGCCGGCCCAGGGCTCGTAAACGCCGGGCCAGGGCCACCGAATCGTCCAGCATCGGGTCCAGGGCGCAGGCCTGGAAAAAAGGGGGTTTTGGGGTGAATTTCGGGGATTTTGGGCAATTTTGGGCGATTTTAGAGTGATTTTTGGGCAATTTTTGGGGATTTTAGGGCAATTTTTAGGGGGTTTTAGGGAGGATTTTTGGAGGTTTGGTGGGGTTTAAATGGGATTTTAGGGTGAATTTGGGGAATTTTGGGGTGAATTTCGGGGATTTTGGGCAATTTTGGGTGGTTTTTAGATGTTTTAAATGGGATTTTTGGGGGTTTTAAAGGGGATTTTGGGGGGTTTAAATGGGATTTTGGGGGGATTTTGAGGGGGTTTGGGGGGATTTTTGAAAGTTTAGGGGAGGATTTGGGGGATTTGAATGGGTTTTTGGGGTGAATTTGGGGGATTTTGGGCAATTTTGGGTAATTTTGGGGTTTTTTTAGGTGTTTTAAAGGGGGATTTTGAGTGTTTTAAAGAGGGATTTTGAGTGTTTTAAAGGGGGATTTTGGGGGTTTTAAAGGGGATTTTGGGAGATTTGGGGTAGGTAGAATCGATTTTTGGGGGGTTTTAGGGAGTGGAGTCGGTTTTGGGGTGAATTTGGGGGATTTTGGGCAATTTTAGGTAATTTTTGGGGGATTTTGGGGGGTTTTAGGGCAATTTTTAGGGGGTTTTAGGGAGGATTTTTGGAGGTTTTGGGGGGATTTTAAGGGGGTTTGGGTGGGATTTGGGATGAATTTGGGGGGTTTGGGGCAATTTTTGGGGTGAATTTGGTGGATTTTGGGCAATTTTTAGGGGTTTTAGGGTAATTTCGGGGCATTTTAGGGGGGAGTTTTGGAGGGTTTTAGGGGGGATTTTGAGAGGAATTTGGGGGCTTTAGGGGGGATTTTTGGAGGTTTGGCGGGGTTTGAATGGGATTTTGGGGGGAATTTGGGTAATTTTTGGGGTGAATTTGGGGGATTTTGGGCAATTTTGGGTAATTCTTTAGGGGATTTTGGGGGGTTTAAATGGGATTTTTGGGGAGTTTTAAAGGGGATTTTGGGGGCTTTAAAGGGGATTTTGGGAGATTTGGGGTAGGTAGAATCGATTTTTGGGGGCTTTTAGAGAGTGGAGTCGGTTTTGGGGTGAATTTGGGGGATTTTGGGCAATTTTGGGTAATTTTTTAGGGAATTTTTGGGGGCACAGACCCCCGGCCCGGCGGCACTCGGGGCTCAGGGGGGCGAGGCTGAGGAACCCGTGCGGGACCCCCGGGACCACCCGAAGGGTCACGGGCCGGCCCAGGGCTCGTAAACGCCGGGCCAGGGCCACCGAATCGTCCAGCATCGGGTCCAGGGCGCAGGCCTGGGAAAAAGGGGGTTTTGGGGTGAATTTCGGGGATTTTGGGCAATTTTCGGTAATTTTTACGTGTTTTAAAGGGGAGTTTTGGGCATTTTGGGGGGGATTTTTGGAGGTTTTGGGGGAAAAAAGGGGGTTTTGAGGGGGTTTTGGGAGTCCTTGGAGTTGATTTTGGTGGGTTTGAGGGAGTGGAGTCGGTTTTGGGGTGAATTTCGGCAATTTTGGGCAATTTTTGGATGATTTTGGGTAATTTTTGGGGAGTTTTAGGGGGGGTTTTGGTGTTTTAAATGGGATTTTTGGGGGTCTTAAAGGGGATTTTGGGTGTTTTAAAGGGGATTTTGGGTGAGATATGGGATCCTTGGAGTTGATTTTGGGGGGATTTGGGGGATTTTGGGGTGAATTTGGGGGATTTTGGGCAATTTTGGGTGATTTTTGGGGAGTTTTAGGGGGGATTTTAGATGTTTTAAAGGGGGATTTTGGGGGAATGTTGAGGGGATTTTGGGGGAGATTTGGGGTCCTTGGAGTTGATTTTGGGGGGATTTGGGGGATTTTGGGGTGAATTTCGGGGATTTTGGGCAATTTTGGGCAATTTTTACATGTTTTAAAGGGGAGTTTTGGGCACTTTGGGGGGGATTTTTGGAGGTTTTGGGGGAAAAAAGGGGGTTTTGAGGGGGTTTTGGGAGTCCTTGGAGTTGATTTTGGGGGGTTTGAGGGAGTGGAGTCGGTTTTGGGGTGAATTTGGGGGATTTTGGGCAATTTTGGGCGGTTTTAGGGTGATTTTTGGGGAGTTCTGGGTAATTTTTAGGGGGTTTTAGGGGGGATTTTGGGGGTGATTTTAAGGGGGTTTGGGTGGGATTTGCGGTGAATTTGGGGTGTTTTGGGCAATTTTTGGTGTGAATTTGGTGGATTTTGGGCAATTTTCGGGTGATTTTAGAGTGATTTTTGGGGGTTTTGTAGGGGATTTTTGGAGGTTTTTAGGTGGTTTAAATGGGATTTTGGGGGTATTTGTTGGGGTTTTTGGGCCACCGAATCGTCCAGCATCGGGTCCAGGGCGCAGGCCTGGAAACAAAGGGGGTTTTGGGGTGAAATTCAGGGATTTTGGGAAAATTTCGGTAATTTTTGGTAATTTTTATGTGTTTTAAATGGGATTTTGGGGGGATTTTCGGAGGGTTTGGGGGGAAAAAAGGGGAATTTGGGGGAGATTTGGGGTCCTTGGAGTTGATTTTGGGGAGATTTGGGGGATTTTGGGGTGAATTTTGGGGGATTTTGGGCAATTTTCGGTAATTTTTACATGTTTTAAAGGGGAGTTTTGGGGGTTTTAAAGGGGGATTTTGGGGGGGTTTGGGGGAATTTTGAGGGGATTTGGGTGGGATTTTGGGGTGAATTTGGGAAATTTTGGGGTGAATTAATGGATTTTGGGGTGAATTTGGGGCATTTTGGGGTGAATTTGGAGGATTTTGGGCAATTTTTGGAGGTTTTGGGGGAATTGTGAGGGTATTCCAGGGAGAATTTTGTGGGGGTTTATGGGCACTTTTGGGGGGGTTTTTGGGCCACCGAATCGTCCAGCATCGGGTCCAGGGCGCAGGCCTGGAAAAAAGGGGTTTTGGGGTGAATTTCGGGGATTTTGGGCAAATTTGGGCGATTTTTGGGCAATTTTTGGGTAATTTTTAGGTGTTTTATATGGGATTTTTGGGGGTTTTAAAGGGGATTTTGGGGGTTTTGGGAGTCCTTGGAGTTGATTTTGGGGGGTTTTAGGGAGTGGAGTTGGTTTTGGGGTGAATTTCAGCAATTTTGGGCAATTTTCAGGGATTTTTGGGCGATTTTAGGTAATTTTTTAGGGGATTTTTGGGGTTTTTAGGTGGTTTAAATGGGATTTTTGGGGGTTCTAAAGGGGATTTTGGGGGATTTTGGGGGCCCTTGGAGTTGATTTTGGGGGGATTTGAGGGATTTTGGGGTGAATTTCGGGGATTTTGGGGTGAATTTGGGGGATTTTGGGCAATTTTCGGTAATTTTTACATGTTTTAAAGGGGAGTTTTG